GCTGAAGTGTTTGTGCATCGTTTTTGTTCATTTCATTTCATTTCATTTCATTTCATTTCGTTTTGTTTTGTTTTGTTTTTTTTTTTTTTTCTCATCGAACTTTAATCAACATTAATCTCTCTAAATGAAGATATGTTGTAAAACTAAATTTGTTGTATGATAGCATTTTTGGTAAATGAAAAATGTTTTTCCATTTTTTTTTTTTTTCTTTTTGAAAAAAACATTTTTGCAAAATTAACAGCATAACAAAATTTATAAATGATATTTACCACTAATTTTTTTTTTCGCTATTTTTTTTCAATCAATCAATCAATCACTGACTGAAATTATTCATTGCTTCTAAATTTTCATATAAGGAACAAGAATTTTTTCAAATTTTGTTATAATTTTTTTTTTTTTTCATTCTCATTTCATTTATTTTTTTTTTTTTTGGTCTTAAAAAAAAAAAGAAAAAATCATTCTCATTTTAATTATTTTCTATCTCTATTTTGATATTTCTAAATTTACTACAATTTGATATATTAGAGTTTTAGACATTTTATTAAATTATTGTTATCATATTTCTCATCAATCGATTTTATTAGTATTTCGTACTAAAAAGAAAAAGGAAAAAAAAAAAAAAAAGAAAAAGAAAAACTTACAAATATTTGCATAAACTTCACCATTTATTTTTTTAATTTTTAAACATTTTGTTTCTTTATTACACATATACAAACATTTCGTTGTTTTTTTCTTTTTAATAACTATAAAAATAAATTTATAGCAGAATTGATAAGCTTTAGCAAGAAGTGCTGATTTCAGAATTTCAATATATCAGAGAAACAACTGATTGAAGCTAGGAAAAAAAATAAGAATTTTATTCTAATTATATTATTTGGCAGTTTTATTTAAATAACATTTTATTCATCCATAATAACAATCTGAAAATAATAATAATAAATGAATTAATAGCTTACTCATTCCAAAAATTAATGAAGTATGAAATTAGCAATTTGTTTGGGATGATTTTATTGAAGAAAAAAGAAATATTTTCTCAAATGTTTAGCAAAGATTTTTACTGAAGAACTATTCGCCCAGTGATTTCCATTAATTGATTCATTAATTCAAATAAACAAATCTGAAAAAATAAACTCAGATGATCTAAGAAAAAAAAAAAAAAAAATTTAAATGAGCAGAAATTCCAAGTAATCAGTCTTAAATGAATTAAGCAAAAATTTAAAAAAAAAAAAAAAATTAATTTAAACTGCACTTTCCTGTTGAATTCTTTTCAATGAATGACTGAATGAATCGATCATTAATTAAAGATTTCAATTCTGCTAATAATATGAAAAAAGAAAAAAAAAAAAGGTTAATACTTAAAAAGATTAATAAAGCAAAATTTACGTTTAAAAAAATTCTAAAATAATATTTTATTTTTCCTCCTAAAATTAATTCTCATTCTAAAAAATTATTTTCATTGAATTAGCAAGTTTCTATGTGGAATTACAGTGATAAGAAATTGAACAGTGAAAAATGAAATATAAAAGAAATGTACAGAAGCGCTTAGACAGAAACGCTTTTATGAATTGAGGAATACATTTCGATTTCTCGAATGAAATTAGTTAAAAAGCACTGAATGAATGATTGAAAAGAAAAAAAAAAAGATAGATTTTAATCCGTTATTATACCAATTGAATCGCTCAATGAAAATACATTTAAATTCTGAGATAAATTGATAAAAAAACAAGAATTTCAATTAAATTTCAGCAATTTTTTTAAATTTCGGCAATTTTCAATCAATACAATTTATAATATTTTCAAAATCTTTTATATGATCAATAAAAAGTGTTCGCAAATATTCTAATAATTATAACACAGATTTCTCTCTCTCTCTCTCTCTCTCTTTTTTTTTTTTTAAAAAAAAAAAAGACTCTTGTTAATATGAACATATTAAAAAGTAAAAATATATTTAAAATAAGAAAATAATAACTAATATTTCATTTTTTTTTCCTTTTAAAATTAATTTTTATTCAGCTAACAAATTAATTTTATTCAATGTAAAAAATTATTTTAATTCAGGTAAGCATATTATTTTCATTTAAGTTAGCAAGTTATTTCGAACAAATGGTATTTCTTCTCTCTCTTTTTTTTTTTTTTTTTCCTTCTTTGTTGTCTTTATCGATGTAATTTGCTTTATAAGCAACGATTCACTTTGTTTGAATCATTCATAGAAATCTTTTTAAGATAAAAAAAAAAAGAAAAAATTGTGCGAAATAGAAAGCCAAAGAAAAAAAGAAAGGTAATTGAATGTATAATAGCAAAGATTTTGTTGGCGATTACTTGCAAAGTTACATTTTTCACTTTTTTTTTTTTTTTTTTTTTGAGGAAAAAAGTTCTTTCCAGTTGAGTTATAATATTTTCCAAGGCCATTTATTTTTAAACTACTTTTACTTTTAACATACACACACACACACACATACACATACATACACGCACATACACACATACATACATACACACATACACAATGTGTTTGAGAATAATAGAAAAGAAGGAATTTTGTGAATATTCAGCAATTGCACTATCAATTTTTAGCTTTTACCTGGTCATGTAAAGCTGATTTGTTTGAAATATAATATTTAGTATTATCAAAATACATATGATGATTATGATTATGATAACGGTTATGATGATTATATGATAATTATATGATTATTCAAACAGTGAATATGTAATATTGAAGTTTATAAGTTTAAAAATTATAATTGAGAGAAAAATTCAGGATTTTCTTCAATAATCATTTATTTTTACTTATTTACTTCTTTTTTTTTTTTTTTTTTTTTTGTAAATTATTCTTACTTTTTGCAATAAAACAAAGATAACAGAGAAAAGAAGAAGAAGAAAAAGGAAAAAAAAAAAGGTGAAACAATTGAAGGATAAAAGAATTGTAAATGAATGTAATAGTTGAATTAACGAACATTTGTAATATTTTGACAATTTCTGGTGTTCATCTTATTCCGAATACTGTAATCGCAATTTTCCGGAGATTTGAATTCAATATTTTGTAAATGAATAAAGATTGTCTTCCGCAATTATCAATTATTGTTGCAAGTAAACGGAAGGAAGGAAGGAAGGAAAAAGCGCTTGAATAAATTTGTGATTTGTGAAAAGAGTAATTTTGACTAAAATAACTCATAATTAAACTTTAAAATTTAGCAAAAAAACACATAAACGTATTAAATTTTTTTTTTTTTTTTTTTTTTTAATCCTATTCCTTATTTCTATGATCAATAAAAATAATAATAATAACAATAATAATAATAATCAATAAAATTTCTTAGTGACAAAAAAAAAAATTATATAAAATTAAATAACATTCAATGATCAATGAATTGAAATTTTTTAAAATACAAAAGCTTTTTTTTTACTTTTCCTGTGGCAATCATATAATTCCGAAATGATTAATGGAAACTTCATTTTTAATTAATCTTTCATTGTTTTCTCAAAAAAAAAAAAAAAATTTAATTTTTCTTAATATAGTTGCAGTAATAGTAGTTATGATTAGAAATTGTAAATTAATCTATTCAATTCAAAAAATTTACAAAGCAACAAACAATTTACATTAATTTATCAGTCCAGCAAAAGATATCAGAGTATTAAAATTTGTTTTCTGATATCATTGAAAAAAAAAACAAAAAAATTTTCATTGCATTACTGAAACTTACAATTAATTTAAACGATTCATTCTTCAAATGCTTTTTTTTTTCTGAATAGAAATCAAATAATTAATTAAAAATTTTAAAGTTATTTAGCACCTCTCATCGTTTTTCCGGTTGCTATGAAATCTAAAAGAAATTTTTTTTTTAACAATTATTCAACTTATTTCTTCATTTGTTTTAAAAATAAGATTGTGATAATTGATAAACATTGATAACTCATTAATGACTTTTAATCGTTGTAATAAGATTAAAATTTTTGTTTAAAATAGAAAGAAAAGAGTTTATTTTTATGAGTGAAATGTGTGAATGAAAAAGATTATTGTATGAAATATTTTCTCTGTAATGAAAATAAAACATAAATATTTGTGATTAATTTAAAATGACTATCATTCATACTTCTGTGATAATCTTTTCTACTCTTTTCATATATTGAATTATCTCATTTAGCAATTATTATTATTACAGCCTAATTTTTCTAAAGTTAATAATGATTTTTTTTAATAAAAAAATTTTTCTAAAGTTAATAATGACGTTATTTAATATGATTTAACTTAATTGAATATTTATAAGATAAAGTAAAGTATATAACATTGTTGTAAGTCAGTAATATTTTCTCATTAATTAATGATTTCCTATTAATTTCGAAGTAAGACTTAAAGTTAAGTAAGTGGTTTGTTTGTTTGTTTTTTTTCCATATGTATTCGAATTCTTCGCCAGTAAATTTTACTTTACTTTGTATCTATATCATTTGGTTTACAAATTGTCATAGAAAAATCAATAGAATATCAAAATGATAATATCACTTTATTTTACGTGAGATTCGGTTTAGAAAGAAAAAAGAAGGATTATTGGAGTTACAGATAGCTAAGCTTATAAATTTATTAAACTTTAGACTATTCTTAATTTTCGAAAAGTTAGGAAAATAAAAAAAAAAATGAAAAAGTGAGGGCAAAAAAAAAGGAAGTAAAGGAACAAATTATTATCTTTCTTCCGATATTTCAATAGTGTTTGTCTTGTGAACAATTACTTTACAATTATCACTTAGTCTTTTATCAAAAAACTCTAGACTTAATTTTTATCAAACATTCTCGCTTATTCAAATTTGGAGTAACTGAAATGCAGTATGATACGTCAACTGATAAAAGATTAGAAGAAAGGGAGTGATCCAATGACTGTTGCATTATGATCCGCATTGATTTCACGGACGTTCAAAGTGTTTTGAAATGTTAGTTTAATTCAAATGTTTGCCGGTAGTTTGGGAAATTTTGTTATCTCTATTTTAAATTATTTGAAGAAAGCGAGATGGCTGATAACTGCAGTCTGAAGGAACTTTTGCAAGAAAGTACGGAAGATTTGGAAGCGACTATTAAAATGGTTTCAAATTATGTATTTACAATTTTAGCAATTTGTGTAATGTCTTCCCATTATTCTACAATTTGTCATATTTCCGTTGGATCAGCACCTCTTTTCGATTAAGATTTTCGTTTTACGACTTGTTAAAAATTCAAAAATTAGTTTATCCTTTGTTTGTTATCATTAAGTTGAGAGATTTTTTGAATTTTGGTTGAACCTAGTTATCCTTGTTCGCCGATACATAACTGAGTGGCATTGGGAAGTAGAAAAATCAAAAAAAAAAAAAATTGTAATATAACATAAAAAGAATAAAGGATTTTTGGGGAATAGATTTCACTTAATCGATATGTTATTAAACTGAATATTCGACTTCTTCATTACAGATAGTTGCGTTTGTTCTGGACAGGGATCGAAGCTGTGGGTCACTTACATCTCTTTGTGAATCATTCCGCAAGAAACATGCTGAATTAGCGAAACTTCTTGCCAAAGGTTTGTTTAACTGTGTACTTTTGTAGCTTATGTTTTATGTTGCTCTTATTTTTTATGCTTTTACTGTCTTATGCTTTTATTTTTAGTACCTGCTCATCAGGAAAGAGAGAGAGAAATCCGAAGATTGGAAGCAGAAGTTGAAGCACGCGACCGAATTCTTGGAGATTTACAAAATCAGTTAATGGCTGCGGAAAAGCTTGTAACTAAAATGGTTTTTCAGGTATAACATGAATTTTGGTTTTGTTGTATGCCTCTCTTTTCTTCGTTTATGTGAAGTAAATGAAGTCTGAAATGTGGAAAGTGAAGTGTAAGGGATGAGCCTGAGACTTTGAAGCAAGGGACTGAAGCATATCATTAGATTTCCTTCAGTCTTCCTGTTATTTTTCATTTTGAGGCATGTGCTTTTACAAAGTGATTATTTTTAAGGCTGATAAAAAGGTGAAGGAAATGCGTCAATCGGAAGCAAACAGGGTAAATAGTGAAACGATTATTCGTTTCGCTAATCAGATCAGTAGAACATACGCTGTCGCTGCGCCACTTGGTTGGCAACTTGGCGATACGTCTCGACCATATCCTACCGAGGTTAGAGAATTTTTGGTTTTTCTACAGTCAACAATGGGAAAACAAAAAATATCCTATAGTCACTTAAACTAGTAAGTGAAGAATGCTCTTATTTTCTTGTTAGCTATTCCTCTCTTAAGCCTTCTGTATCTCTCTGTCTTTGTGTGTGTTATAAAAATGGATAACTATTATATGGAATAAAGCTTCAGTTTTCTTTCATTTCAAGTTATAGTTTAAAATCAACAAATTAAGTAACTTACAGGCGGAGTTGCGTTTATCCGCGTTGGCAGCGCCACGTGTAATAGTGCAAGCAGCCCCTCCGGCTTTATCTTTGCTTCGTCAACCTGCAGCTAGTACTAGTGGAATGTTACGTAGTGGACGTGGTGCTTCACCGATGACATCATATTCGGCAGCTATGCAACAACAACAAAAGTATTTTCATATTAATAGTTCTTAGTTTTTTACAGGGGAGGTAGTATATAGTTGGATTAATATATATGTGAAATAAGTATCATTCATCTGAAAATGAAAGCAGGGAACATTCAGATATTAGTTGGGAAGCAATTGGTTTAATAAACACAAATTTTAGAATAATTTTTCGATTTTGAGCCTCAGATTTTGCTTGGAAATAAGAGTTCATTTCATTTCAGATCATGGAGTCCACGTGGTACATTTGTTCAGCAGTCCTCTTCATCACCTCGAGGTAGAAGTGCAGGTGGCCGCGGTAGCATTATATCTCCACGCATTGGTGCCGCACCAGGTGCAGGTCTTTTGCAGCGACGTCCATCCATGACTGGAAGTAGTCCTCATTTATCTAGTCCCTCATCATCCTACCAAGGTCCCATCAGAGGAGGTCTTCCACCACCAATAAGCAATGTTGAACAGATGAGCTCTGACTCAAGCAGTAGTTCAAGTAGTGATGAGGGTAGTCCCTCTTAATTTTCTGTATCTTGCTTTAAATTTGTTAGGGATTGAAACTTATATCATATCATATGAAAAAAGTTTTTCTGAAAACTCTTTAGTATTTACGAAACTGTCCACGTATTCCAGTCTTTTAAATATGATCGCTGCAGAATGTTTTATCTATTTATTCTACAACCCGTTTGTCATCCTTTACAAATTAATAAGTCTGAATCTTTTCTTTGCAATATAAGAGTGTTGGCAAAGTAAACAGTATTGGGAATTCTTCTAGGTTCGTCATTTTTAAAGTCTTTTTTGCTTTGTTACAAAGTCTCTTTTGGTACAGTGCAGGTTTTATTTTGTCTTCGAGATATTGGCCAGTCATGAGTTTTTGCTTTTCTTTTTTCCATCATTGCTCATTATGCGTCTTTGTTATTTGATCACCAAAGTTTTTATTCTATGATTTAACTAAAAAAGTTATGTTATTCCAAGATTTTATATGGTGGATTGCAAATATTTTCTCCCTCATAAACTTTGAGTGTTTTGGATGCTGTTGATTACTTCAAATATGAAGTGTTTGTACTAACTGATCAAAGTTTAATTAAAGTTGGAAAAAGCTGTCATTCGTAAGTGAAAATTCCAGTAACTTAACATTAAGTTGATTTGCTTGAGGTCCATTAGATAATGCTCATCAGGTCGAAGAAGTCCGGTAGTATTTCATTTTGTTTCTGACATTTTTCTTTCCGTTGTTTCGGCTGTTCTACTTGTTACATTTTGTGTTTTTCTGTTTAAAACAATTTCAAAATTCACTGCTCTGGACTGTTTTGTTTTGGTTAATAAATTCTTTACATATTGCTGCAATAAAATGAATTGTTTTTGTATTGAACAGTGTTTACATATTGATTACCGAGGTTCCTCATTTAGCACGAAATTTTCTAATCTTTGATTAGACTGTGCTGAAATAGCTTACGTTTGTGATTGGAAGTTTCCATGAATCAAATTATTTAGTGCACATGGGTGAACCAAAGAGAACAGTGGATAAAACCGTTTCGAGTTCAGATAGTAATTCTGGAGCATGTGGTACCGAAACACTTCCATCTTCCAAAGAATCAAGTAATACTAATAAAGGTTTGTGAAATTGATTGCGATGTATTACTTTCTAGTGAAAAATTTATTGGTGAAACTAATTGATCTATTGTTTTTGGAGTTCTTAAAAATGACAACTTTGCAGAGTTGAGTGATTTCCCTGATCTAACTGATTTTGTTAATCAAAGGACCGAAAATGATCTGGATGAATTATTTTCTAGTCGATATACAATGGTAAGCCGATCAATTCATACAATGCAAAGTTGCTAAAATCATAGTTATATTATTTAGGATTTCAGGCAAATAAATTGTATGTAGAAGTTGCAAATGGTTTTCCTGATCCGGTCATTGTTTGTCCATGGAGCAAAAGACCGAAAAGGAATTTCGATTATACGTATGCCTTCTTAATCATTTCCGCTTTCCATGATATGTTTGGAATAGTTTGATTAGTTCCATGTTCATTACATTCTGTACATTAATATGCAAAATTCTTTGAAAGTTTCAGTCAGTCTAAAATTAGTGAGAATTAATTTGACATTTCCACATTTAGGAAGGAACTAAATTTTCCGGACATGAATTTCAGCGGTGGTCAGCGAAGATCCTGGAGAGAAGATCGTGGACGAAATGTTAACTCAGAATGGCGAAGTGGTTGGAGGAATCCGAATTACGATCCTTATGTTGCACACGGATCATGGAAGAGACGTAACGCAGATGCGGACCATGTTCGTGTTTCTTATCCAGGCAGAACAAATTCCTAACGTCAGCGGAAAAGAAAGTTTAGAACATTCAGCACTGTCGTGATCATGCTGCATAATATAAATTTCAAGTAGTAATTTGTATTAAAATCTCATTAATGACTCTAATCCGAAGAGCTCTATTACAATAAGCACATGCTGTAACTATCGCAAACTTCTGAAAGAAGCATGAATAGTAAGCCAATACTCCAGTGGCATACTTTTCTGTCATTCTTCTTGGAAATCCGAACGAAATCTTAAGATAGAATTTTATGGAAGTTTTATGATTTGCAATGAATCAAAACCTTTTTTGCTTAGGCTCAGGCTTAGGCTTAGGGTATACTTAGGCTTAGGCTTAAGCTTTATTTCAAATCTGAAAATCGATTTTGATTGAAATCTTAAATCTGAATGTTTTTAGTTTTAGTATTTTATCATCATTTATTGAAAAAAAAAAAAAACTACTACGAATTGTGTATAATTTAATTGAAGAATTAAAAGCATGTTCATCCAGTCATTGAGGATTAAAAATATGTTATTCATATTGAAAATTTGAGGATGTTAAGATATTATGGTATAAATGATTTCCATTAAGCATTCAGATGTTACCAAAACTAGAAATTAAAAGTGAATAAGGGCAGTATTATTATTTATTTGGAACAATTCTATGGAAGTGCAACTGAGACAAGTGTGGAAAATGCGCCTACGATATAAAGGAGCAGATGGAGATGTCGGTTTTTGGATCTTAATACTTCATAAAACGAATATAAAGTATTTAAACAAAGTCATACTAAAATGCCTGGGAAGTGCTAGAAACTTGCGGGAATCGAATGATCATTCAAGTAAAAGGCCCAGATACTCCCTAAAATTTAAGAAAAATTCCAATTCATGAATTTCCAGTCCAACTAAAACTCTGGTTTTTGCTCTGACCACAATCCAGTTTTTCTTGAAAGGGATATCAACTCATTGGAATTTATTTATCTCTCTTCAAATTAAGAAGGAAGGATTGAAAATAAGATTTTAAAAGTTCCGTCTTTAATAGTTTATTATCAAATCACATGAGCAATGAAATGAGAGAAACATATAAACCAGAAACAAGTCAAGAGTGACGAGGTGGTATCCGCTTTTGTCGTGACCGTTCCATGTCTCGCCTTCCCGCTGCACTTAGACCACATAATCTAAGTATCTCGTCGCCATATTTCTTCCAGATAAGATGTTGACCATACATACCATAGAATCTAGAACATTCTTAAAAAAAGTAAAGGAAATGTAATTCCTATTCTTAGAAGTAAGCATCAAAATTTTATACATCATAATTTTCGTTACTGCTTGAAATTTATGAATACAGCAGAAACATACAATCCAAATAGTGATCCTCCTAAATGTGCTGCATGATCGAACAATTTGAAACCAAGAAGCAAGCATATGAAGTCAAAAGCGATCATTCCGGTCACAGCTGACTTTGCTGAGAAATCAAAATGCGGCACAAAAACAATTTTCAGTCTTGCGTCTGGCAATTTTACGCATGTGTATACTAATAGCGCCATTATTGCACCACTCTGCAAAATTGTAAAATATCATTTTAAACAGGCAGTTCGTAAATTCTTCTTCAAAGAATGAATAGTAAATATCTTAGAAATTATAATAGCAGAAGAACTAACAGCTCCAAGAGCTCGTCGATTCGTTCTTATCAAATATTTATGCGTTATCCCAGCTAGAGATGATACTGCAGCGGCTGTTATATAGAAAGCCCAAAACTGTAAATATAAATATGCTAAGCTAAATGTCAGATTTCCATCAACTATAAGCAAAAAGACATAATTATGAATAAGAATAGACTGAATAGAAATCAATATTCATATTAATAAAAAATAAGAATTCAATCATTTAATCTCAAACCTGTTCAATTCCAAGAAAACAATCAATGGAAACAGGAGCAAATGTGTTGAGCACATACATGTTCAACACAAGATGAAGCATATTTGCATGAGAAAAAGCACTTAATACCATTGGAAGACACAAAGCTTCTAAAATAAATCACATAATAAGCATATTAAATGCACGAAATTATGAATGTGTGTCCAACACGATGGATAAGACTATTTATGAACATTTGAAATTCAAAAAATGAAATCAAATCGAGTAAATATTGATGAGAGAATCCACCTCATGCAAAGATTACAAGGAAATTAAATGGATTAGAATAAGCATTTGAAAAAAAAAAAACAAATGGTAACAATGCTTTAAAGCATGGTACACATTCAAAGAAAGTAGAATAGAGCGAATATAAAAAGTCTTTCTAAGTTTGAAAATGCAGAACCGAAGTTGAAATAACTATAAAATCTAAAATTCTATATGGCTCAAAAAAAAGGGTAAACGAACTTGAAGCAAAACTGTTTGTGAACCATCTCCACATAAATAGTTGCCAAGGTTTGATCCCCCACATCAGCATCACCATCACATTTATGCCAACAAGTATAAAAGTGCATTTGACACCATCTCGAAGTCGGCGATATTTGGCGAAATGATTTTTGGCTTCATTATATTTCACATTGACTACTTCATAAACTTCACGCCACCTGAAAAATAAATCCTATGAATAAAACTATGCAAAAATGAAGACAAGTAATTGGTACACATTCTATTTTGACTGCACGCAAAACAAAAGAAGCAGATTTTTTTTGTATATGCAAAAAAAGAACAAAAATTCCAAACAAATTTAGCATGTACCCACCTATTGTTGGATCTTTTAAGATCACATATTGTAGCCAACGCAAATGACACAGATCCAACCTAAACAAGAAAATGATGTAAATCATAGTCTGACTTATAATTGCATACTCATGAAGTCTGCAAAACCATGAATATGACTGGATTTTAATGATCAAATTTCCTTTGAAACTTTCCTTGAAACTATATTTGCTTAAATGGAAAGTTCTCAACGTCATGACTAGCGAGAAAATTTTACAGTAAGAACAATACATAACATACCCCAATAGTAAACCCGAATGCTTTCCATAAATCTTTCAACGGACGAAGCGGAATCACATCTTCCTGATAAGGTAATTTTTTCTTCGACTGTTCTATTTTCTCTTTAAATTCATCAATGCGTCGCCGATACTTTTCTCTTCTGTTTAATCCAAAACGATTTCTTACTGGTTGAAAAAGGACCAATCTTGGAGACTGTTTGGTTAATTCGCACGTCCATCTCATAAGGGTACCCAGCATACCCTAAAATTAGTTCCTTAAAAAACAATAATACCTTTTAGTGAAAATATTTGCAGGTAAAAAATTTTACTCTACCCCGACATTCACTCCTAAAGTGAACAGAACATTTATGCTGAACTCCGAATATTTTTTTCAGTAATGCTAGCGATATCATACACAACAACTCCAAAGCTGCAAAATCAAAAATTTTAAATGTACCAAAATACACAGTATTTTTACTTTTAATTTAAAAGAACATACCGGTATACCCTTTTTTTTCTTTGATCACTTACAACCAGAAAAAACAAAATCGAAAAAGCCAAAGGCCAAGTGCAAGTACTTTCCAGTTAATCCCACGCAACAAATCTGCCTTAAAGCGAGAATCTATAATCGATAATGCTTAAAAATGTCATTTAAAGTGAAATATGTATATTTGATGCAGCTCACAAAATTCTGATATCAGTACTCACAAGACGTAATTTATACTAATATTTATACTAATAGTTGCAATTTTAAACACGGAAATGCGTCTCAGTCAACAAAAATTAGGTGATTCAAAACACCTAAACTTTTATTAGCAAGTGCAGTAGTCGGAACGAAACGAAGAGTGTTAAAGCAACTTTTATCACACTATCTATAAATTATATCCGCAAAAACTGGAAATGAGCAATTCCCTATTTAACTGTTCTATTTATCAGTTCCGCTGCAATTTGACATCTAAATTTCCCAAAAAAAAAAAAAAAAAAACGACCACAGAATTAAGGAGTTCATCAGAAGTAGGAGCAAAACTTTCCCTATGTTGGTTTTATATCAAGACACTCATATCCTAATATGAAAAAAAGCTTCGTCATTGGATTATAATTTTGCTAGGATAATTTTAACCGAAATTCTACTTTTAGTTGAGATATTCGTGTCCCTCCCCAAATATCTGCAAATTCTAATCTGTTAGAGCAAAAGAATTAAGGAGAATATATCTCAAAGGAACACATCACATTTGCTACATAACCAGATGTACTTACATCAATAGGAGATGCAGATTCGGTTACTGAACTCTCATCACTTTTTGCCAACCACTTCACTGAAAAGTGGAATTTCTTAACAAAGCAAATTCAACATTTGTAAAAAAGATGTAAAGACACAGATAATCCTCTAAACGATCAGAGAGCGGTTATAAACTTCGAAATATAACACACCATTTCATGAAATTTTACTAGCAACAGCACGAAATCAAAACAAAAACAGGTAACATCACATAAAAATTCGGAAATTCAATTTTTGCTATTCTTATCTTCTTTTCGCTATTCACCACAGCCCCTATAGTAATAGGTATCATATTTTGTTGTATGTCTTCAACTGTTCTAAATTAAACAATCTCGGCTAACTTGAAAAAGAGATTGAAAAAAAGGGGAAAACAAATAAAACTTCCACTCTTTTTATCAATAGTTTCTGGCAAACGCGAAGGAATTCCTACGAAACCCATCAACTACACAAACACAAAAGCCTAAGCTTAACCAGATTGTACAGCAATAGAACACTCGCTTAAGCTTTCAAAAATAACTGATGCCTCTATTTGCCGTGTGACATCATCGGGTGACAAAGGTCACAATTGCAAGCTTCAACAAAAATCAAAACACCCAATGAACTTATTTATTATATTCATTTAATAACATGAGACTTTAAAGCAATGACTTTCGAAAGCTATAAATTCTCAGCTTCAGAAACCATATGGATGATAATTTTTGAAATTAATTTGAAAATCACTAGAATGAAATGTCGGATATAACTGATCAAAAAATTATGTGGTAAAGAAAACTGCTCATTACCTGTTTAAAAATCACAATCAATAACAAAAAAACACATCCAATTGTTACTTGTAGTAAAATAAACAACAATTTATTTCAATTTTTGTCAAGACAACATATCGGATTCTCATAAATCATTCGTAAATCAACTTTTGGACCAAACAGATCCCTTATATTATCAATACCATAGCGAATCATTGTTGGCCTGTAAAACATCTTTGGAAAAATCATAAATTCTTATAAAACTCACTCTGCTACATCAAAGTTCAAGATTATAGCCTTGATATAAATTATGAGCACCGATCAGATATCGATCTACTTATAGAAATGGAGTACAATAGCCAAAGAAGTATTATGCAAAGATGAGGATAAGCTGACCTTTCTAGGGACAATCCATAGCCAGCAACATTCACATCAGCTGGTAATCCCATAGGCAACAACATTTCAGGACGGAACATGCCTGAATTGCCAATTTCCACCCATTTTCCTAAACCGTCGTGAAAGGCAAATATTTCCATCGATGGTTCCGTATAAGGATTATAAGTAGGTTTGAAGCGAAGATTTGTAATACCTGAAATTACATAAGTTGATGAAATCTTCCAATTTAAAATTGAAATCACTTGAGTATAACAAACATCTGTATAAATTTTCTATATGAGTACGGAGTAAAGCTTACCACATTTCCGGAAAAATTCAGTGAAAAGGCCCATAACATGAGCAAGTGATAAATTTCTTTCCGCAATAACACCTTCGACCTAGAAAACAAAGAGCTCAAACAGATCATAAAATTAAAGTAGATGTAGAGTTAAGCAAAACAGAAAGCATGATTAGTAACTGTATGTATTGCTCTTCTAAATAACCTGTAAAGACACACTATGCCAGAATAGAATTCGACGCTTAACAAACCTGATGGAATTCAGCCAGATGTGTTGCATCCAGTGTTTCATTTCGGAAAACCCGATCGATACTGAACATTTTTGTAGGTTTGAATCCCTAGAAAGATAAATTAAGGCGATAACTCTATCTGAAACTGACGAAAAATTCTTTGAATACGAAATTCAAAAATTCTTGGGTCAGATTACACTTTAAGAACACTTCATTTCATCTAATCTAAATTTATTCAAGCAACATTGTTATTCTAGAATTTAGTCCGTTATACAGTTTACTGAAATGCATGCAGAAATAAAAACCTTTTTAGCAAGCTTATATAACTGATGAGCGCTAACTGCAGTTGTGTGTGTCCGTAGGACATTTTTTTGAGCTTCTTCCAACTTCCAATCATAGTTATAACTAGAATAAAATGCAAGAAATACCATTTTACCGATATGAACAAATAAAGTATTTCATTTTACTTTCATAGATATGACTGTAAAATTTAATGAAATCCCGGATCAATAAATATTTCATTTTTAAATTAAATTATACCAAACCTTGTCGTTTTCATATTGCTAAACACTTTTTTCAAATTATAATTTTTATCAAATTTTTATAATTTTCAAGTCAATTCCTTCAACTGATACAGTTTACTTTAAGGGTTAACTACCAGAAAGGCCCGAGCTTCAAAATTCTCGAATCTTCGTAAGGCTTACCCCTTCGAACCGTATCCACCTTCGGTATGAACATTTTTAACTCGTTGTAAATAATCTTCAGGAAAACTGAAACTTTTTTCTGGGTCTGACAAAAAAAAGGTGTCATGAGCGTCACGTGCTGGATGTTGCTGTGGTTGAAACAGAGCATCGAAATTCCAGAAAGAAGATTCCACATATCTTAAAAAATTACAACTAATATATGAGTACGGATTTCTTTTACCAATCCATCGACAGGATAGGTCAACGAACAACTATTTTAAAATGAAAAGGAAAGTATAACAGAAAAACACTGTTAAAATTTAAATCCAATTTTCAATTAAACGAAGCAATACCTCACCTGTTAGTAGGCATTTCAACGAACCCCATTTGGAAAAAAATTTGTCGAAATTCATTCCTCACTTTCATAAGGGGATGCAAATGGCCACCGGTTGGCATCATGCCTAAGGCGTCAAAGTTATACTTTTTAAATATCTTCTTTCTCCATGAATTGCTAAAAAAAAAAAAAAAAAAAACAGGTGTTTTCTACGAATATAAAGCCTGATAGCAGTGCGTTTTAGTTATGATAGATTAAGCTGTTGCTTCACAAACGAACTGATATAAATGTTTCATGATCAAAGCTCCATTTACCTGTTAATCATATCTGCCGTGAGGTCAACTTCGGGTTTACATAAAACAGTTGAAAACGCTGAACCTTTTTTGACCAAATAACTTTTGATATTACTGAAAAAGTTGGTAATGATTTTAAATATGAAAAAAAAAAAAAAAAAAAAACCTTACCTCCAAGGTTTCTCTTTTGACTTGGAACAGAACTTAAATTTTAAATTCGATCACGCTGGATTCTCAAACCATTTATTCTTTTTTTGAACTTCATTATAATTGAGTCCTAGCACCAATTAAAAAACCAACATTTCTGTCACCAATTTCCTTTTCTTCAATTCATTCAGAGTTTTCACATCAAGTTTCTGCACATTCCCTTCCAAAATCAGCTTTAGTTGACTCTGCACTTTATCATTGATCGTATCGACTTTTCGTACAAGCCGTACTGTCCCACCTGTCTTATCAATTGCAACCCATCCAGAAGCTATTGCTTTACTTATTCCAACTTTGCCATACGGTAGCTTCTGCAAGCAAAGTAATTTTTAAAGCATAATAAGATTTCATTTAAATCACTAAGGACCTTGCAAAAGACACCTCATTCATCCGATATTTACTATCATTAATAATTTAAAATGTACTCCTTTAATCTCTCATTATAACATTTTACGAGTGACTTCACGTAAAACTCTGGAAATTAAACGCAAAATTGAACAAAATAACAAAGTTGTACCATTAATTCCGCCTGATCAATACCACTAGGTCCAACAAACAGGAAAATTTTTGCTTCATGGGAACCATTTTCAACCATTTCATTTCCTTCATCTGTCAATTCGAAGGTTTTTGAAATTCGTTCTTCTGTTTCCACTAACTAAATGAAAGCAATTTTGAAGTGATCTATGAATACAAAGAGCTATAACAAATATCACTTCTCTTCCACTGAGTAAAAAATATGACAAAACTGATACAGACGAAACAAAAAATAAACCAGAACACAAACCCCTTCAACTGCTTCTAAACTTTTCACAGCACCCACTACTTTCTGATGATCTTCTTTAGCAGCTGTGGCGTATTCGAAAGTCTCGAAATGCTGATGCTTTTCAAGATGATAGAGCAAATTTTGGGGTAAACTAGCATCACCCGTTTCTTCGATACCCGAAGGTGACATTCTGGTTTCACAAATAGCGTTCAGTGATGACGATTCAGGAATGTCAGACAGAAAGCTATAATGCATAACTAAAAAAATATAAGAAATGCCACTGGATATGACACAGGCTAAATTTGTGCGCCAACTATTTTTGACTTCCAATTCAAAACTCAGGTAATGATATTTCTGACAATGGTTTAATGAACACGATGTGACATTTCTAACAATAACTTCTAAACACAAAAGACATTTCCGAAATTCACTTTCACTACTCTCCATTTTTTAATATAATTACGGCAATTTTTTTATGTCAGGGTTTGCGATCTAGTTTTGGTATAGAAGAATACAAGACTCAAATCTAACGTTTTCAGAATTTTTAGATGATTCAACCAGCGATGAAAATGCGGATATTTGATAGGATTTATTGTGACTGAAGCAAATTTCTTGTATACAATCCAGTCACTATCACAAAGTGAGTACCTGAAATTTTTCTTTTATTCAAATTATTTCAAAAAAGAAAATGAAAAAAAAAAGAATAAGGAGTCACAATGGCTGACTTACGATGTGTAAACCAACATATTAATAAAACTAAAATAAACGAAACGTAATTATGGTTATGAGTCTGTCCTCCATTATATTTAAAAGTGATGAAAGTACAAATGTTATTTATTTATTTATTTTTCTTTCTTTTTTTCTTTTTTTAATAATTTTTGAGAGATTTTTTGCACATGCTTGAATTAATCTAGATAAACCAAGTAAATTGGTTTCAACATACTCTCCGATGTAACTGAAATTTGCCAAATGATCGTTAAGCACTTGTGGATTCCATTTCTCCATCCACAACCCCTGTACTAATCTAAATATTGAACTTCACACTTACGGGAAAAATACGAATATACACTAAACAACTTTTATTTGTCATCTAAATGCATCAACTTCAGAAAACATAGTCCTCAGGGGAAACACAAGTATCGCACAACAGATTGTACGCCTTCATCTTTCACAGCGTGACTTCATCACGAAGAAAGAATTTTTGAGCAACTTTCGAGTTTTGCTAAAGTCAAATAGTTACAAAAATTTGAAGTTAAACAAAGGATATTATTTTTGAAAAGTCAAGCTTAAGAAGATTTTAGCGGCTAGCTTTACGATGTCCCTTTTCCCTAATTTATGAAATAAAACAGATCAAAAATTTTTCTGTAAGTAAAAAAAAAAAAAAACAGAATGCACTTAAAAATAAAGTTAAGAATGCAATTAAAAATAAGGAAACAAAAACGATGAATGGATGGGAGAAATCATAAACGATAATGGCATACAAGATAAAGCATTTAGATGAATCAATAATTTTATATAATGAAATAGTCATTAACTAACGTAAATCTTTTTTTGCATTTAAAAAGCAAAAGAAAAATCTTCTAAAAACACTACGAAAGATTGTCCATTATTTTCAGTCATATATTCGACGAAAAAGAAAAGACGAAGAAAAAGCAAAGAATGAAGTGAATTCATTAATTTTTTCACATTGGTCAATCATTTTCAATTCAGTAATTACAGCCCGTGAAATATAAATCAACGAATATTATTACTTCGATATACTGAAAACACAAATTATTTACAAATGTAATCAATAACTGCTTATTAACTCATAAACAATCTTGTTTTTAATGAGTTATCTTAATAAAATGAAATATAGGTAACACCATGAACTGTTAAGTGATCCAGAAGACATTAGTATGTAGGAACTAATGCTATAAAAAAAAAAAATGTTTAGTGTTATTTATGAATGACTACGTGTCTACGTGAACACGCCACGTACCATCAATCACGACTCAATTCATAACAAGTCGAACAACCGTAACGTTGCGTAATTTAGCTTGTATTTCCCTTGGCCAGAAATTCTACGCCTTACTATGCAATACACACGCAAGTACCACAACACGGAAGTAAGCTGTCACGTACCACTTTGACGTTCAATTTATACGGTCCGTGAAAATCGAACGTCGAAGTTTTTAGTTTATGGGATTGTCGTAGTTAAACGGAATTTAATTGATGTGTAAGGAGTTGAAATGACATGGAAGTGTGATAAAGGTATGGTGACGATGAAGTATTGCTTGGGTAGTTGACAACTTGTTATTGTTTCAGTCAGGAAATCATAAAAATGACAAAAGAATTGCAACATTTGTTGGATGAATATCCCGTCTTTGAGTACGATGAAAGACAAAAAGTTTGTTAAATTTGTTCTTTTTTATAAATGTTACGTTTATTAGTTCAATGCCCGAACATAAGTTTATCGCATATTCAGATTATTTTATAACAAGCTAGTGACTATGAGTAGAATTACTTTTGAAGTTCTTGAAAGATTGGTATGATATGTGTTTAATTTTATTTTTCATCCAGTATTGTCCTTTATATTATAAAAGCTAAATCATATATTCGTCAGTTATTTGCAGTTGCGGTGTACGTTAACGGGACATGAAATCCCTTCACGTTTTGAGCAACTTGATCATTATGTTAAAACATCAAAATTTGTTCGCGCATGGAAGATGCATCAAATCATGAAGGAATATGGTGAATATTTCGATGATATTGGGTATTTCTTTTTTTGCACATTTATAGGACGTAGTTTAAAAAATTAGAGTTAAGTCCAACCTTAAATTTAGTTGATTTTAGTTGATATCAAAGCGCATCAATCGAGTTTGGGATTGGATTTAAGTCTAATTTCTTTTCACTCGTTATCTTCGCGTGCTCACAGATGATTTAACAAATGAAATATTAAAGCAAAACAATGACTTTAATGCTGATTATCTTGACGATGTAAAATCGCTTGTTATGGAGTATGTAATTGTTGAAATACAGAATTTAACTATAATTTCTTTCACTTTAGTCCTCGTGAATTCGGTTGCAAGATTACGATGAAGATCATTGCGAAGGATCCAGATGATCTCTTTAGACATGTTAATGGGAAAAAGTTCAAAAAAGGACTGGAAAAAGGTCAGTTTTGCAAGCATGACTTGAAATAAGTGATTAATAAGTGTGGTCATTGATCAAACTGTCTTAAATTCTGAAGAACTGTACAATAAATGAAAATGAATTTTGGCAAGGCTTGAGTAGAATCAAAACTGTACAAGGTACAAGCAGTTTCATCACCGTCATTATGGTGAAAGAACTTTGTTCTTCAAAAAATCAGTCATAACTGAATTTAAATTATATTACTGTCATTTATATGGAAATCATTTAAGTAAACGAGGTATATTTTGCAAATAATAAAGAAGTACAGTGTCATTTCATTGATCGAAAATCAGTGTTCTTTTTATTGTATCAGGTTAAGTTTGCTTTCAAAAAGCATCAGTTTATAATTCATGCATTTATCCATGCTATACAACTATTCTGTATATTTAGTTCGTATGAGAGTGTAATGAAAATAATTCATTTATCTTACTGAAACGAATTGACTAACAAAACAAGCAGGGTGATAGGCGGTGTGAATTGTGCTGCTTTGTCTGGTTTCATTAATCTGTTGGTTATATGCTATTTTTCACACAGATGTAGAGAACAGCTGTTTGATTGCAAGCAATTTCCAATTTAGAACAAACCTTTTTTTTGACATCTCAATGTCAAGTGCCATTTCTCTTTCTCCCTTTCTTTCTCTTTGTTACTGATTTTTTATACAAGTAAGGGGTGAATGGTAAGTTATGACCTTTCATTTGACCGAATAATAACCTTTATATGTTGCTAGTTTTTATACTGTTTACATTAAGACAAATTTGTTTATTCATCTTTCACAAAAAGTTGTTTTTTTTTTTTATTGCTCAAATTGTCGCTCACTTCTTCCATTCAAAATTGAAATTTGTTAGTTATATCATTATTCATATATTTTGGTTCTATTCAGAAATATTCCTTAATTGAACAAATAATTCTACAAAGAATTATTTGTTCATCCTCTTTTTCACATATTCGTTCAAAATTCGTTTCTGCGGGAAAATGAAAAAATTTTTTTTATAAACTATCATTTAGTTTCCTTATATTGATTCTTAACAGTCTAGCAGGGAAACAGCAAACCATGCTATTTTCCCTCAACTGAATCGATTTTTCGTCATTTTCTTCACCCCATGGTTGCTGAAAAGCTTACTAACAGAAGCATCTTTGAACTTTTTCATATGCTTTGACTACCTAAGTGAAGGTTGTTCTTTTCCATCTCTTACGAGAAATCGTTTATTGTCTAGATGAGTGATTTCTAAGCCTTAAATAAATGCATCTGTCTTCAACAAAGCGAGATCATATACGAATATCTCTTTTATTCTCCTACACTGTCTATTTCGCATGCATTTATTTGACAGATTTTATTTTCACACTTTAATAATGCTTTTCTTTCAAAAATAGTTTACGCCTGCTTATTACGTTAAGTTTTACGTTTTTGCGTAATACTAGTGCAGTCATATTGACAACAGCGATAATTATGGTCGGAAGAACAGCATTCATGATACATTTGATCACTATAATTAATATAGAAAAGTGTATGATTTTAGTATAAGTGGATAACAATTTAGTTTTCTATATATATATATTTTATAAATAAAGTTTTTATAAGAAATCTTCAAAAAAAAAGAATTTCTTAATTGTGAGTGGAGATGTTTGGAATGCCTAATGAGAAACATTTACATAAATAATTTTTCAACCGTAATTGAGGTAAAATATTGCAGCAATAAGATATATTTGAGTATATTGTCGGTTTTCTTTACTATTCTTCATCTCAGAAAATTTGACTTTAATTTTAGTTCATGCATTTTTATGCCGCGAAAATTCTATTTATTATCTTATGTATTCCTAACAGGGATTATCGAAATAGTTGATTATATGATTTACCAATAACTGCTTTTTCATCTCACGTGAATTGGCACGTGTGTTTGAATTTGTAGTTTCCAATTTTTTTTTTTTTTTATTCATATAATTTTTACGAAGATAGAAATAGCGAAAAACGTCATATAATTCATGTTATTCCGTGGTAGTCACGGAATAGTATAAATTATATTTTTGAACAAGTCAGCTGAACAAGCCAGCTGTTGTGCTGGTTATGTACCACCAAGAAAATTAAATATATCTTCACTTTTGATCATTTATTATGCATGATGTATGAGAATTGAAGTTCTTGAATTGTCTCGGCTCAAATCTTAACTAACAATGATCATACATAAGCCACATTCTCAGAGATCAAATAATCTTTTGTATTAAGAAATTTTGTTTTAACGAGTTGTCTTTTATTATTTTCTCCTTATGGAGAGGAATATTTTTATTGATCTTTTCAGTAAATAATAATAAAAGTAGGAAAGTTTATTCTTATCTTTTGAGGATAAATTCTCACCTTTTATAACTTATTTGTTTGTCTACTTATCCCTCATCTCTTATAACTTATTTGTTTGTCTACTTATCCCTCATCTCTTATAACTTATTTGTTTGTCTACTTATCCCTCATCTCTTATAACTTATTTGTTTGTCTACTTATCCCTCATCTCTTATAACTTATTTGTTTGTCTACTTTATCGTTGCCTCATTTCTTTATTAAGCAGTGAGTGGTGTTATGTTCCGATTTGCTGAAATATTGGTCCTTTTTATCAGTCAAGAAATTAAATCAGTCTTAGGGTAGCTCATCGGAAGTGGTCTTACTGATAATACGCTGATGCTAAGTCTGAATTTTCCTTGCACTGATACACCACATGCGCCACTTGCTGATGCATTCGAAGTGGATGATTTTTTATTGGACGATTGTTGCAATTTATCAGTTACTGATACTATTAATGGTAAGACTGAAAAGAAGTACTTTTTCTTAAAGTCTATTTTTTAAAAAAAAAGTGGTAAATTGTGCTTTTAAATTTTTTCAGCAGCACTAACTGGAGGAAGCGAGTTGTCAGTTGGCAATGAAGATGAAGAAGAAATGGAGCAAGATGAGTCGGATATGTTTAATGAAGTGATCAATGATGATTCTTTTTCTGAGGATGAAAGTGGGTTGAATAAAGAAGACGAATATCCCGGTAATCGGATTTTAAAGAATTCATGGTTTTTGATATTTCTAAAAGTACTTCTAAAATAAGACATTAGTGTTCATTTTTCCAGAAGAAAAAGCTAGCTGGTATTACTTTTAAGATAATGTTATTGACTTAATTTTCATTTACAAAGCTTTTGAAGTTCCGTACTTTATAACAACAAGTATAATTCTGAGGAAGGAAATTGTTCTCTATTCTTTCAAAATTAATAGATTTTGTTAGCACATACATTAATCATTAAATCCCTGATAGTTTGGAAAATCGAAACTGTGCTGATTTTCGAAACTCAGCTTGAATTGTTTCTCCTAATTTAGAATCCTACATTAAACGATTAAAAAAAAAAAAAAAAAAAAAATGTGGTTTTCAGTTCCTAAGGTTCCTTTTTCAGAATTGATAAAAACCTGTGGAGAATCAGCTGTTGAAAGTGAAAGTTATGATTTTACCGTGATGGATACTGAGAAGGACATGAACAGTGTTAATAGGAAAAGAAAGGTTTGATTTCATTTAACCATGCTTGAGTTCTTTTCAGAATTTTTCTTCAAAACAGTGCGTTCGTGGAAATGAATTCACCTTGTAGTTTAACAAAAAAGTGCTTAAATAACTCTTGAAACTTAACGTTCAGGAAATGCATCTCGTACACACTCCTTATATTATTTTTATTCTCCTTCTTTTTCTTTATAGGCTGATAATTCGACAACACTCAAGAAAAAACGAGTGAAATGACACTCTCTCTCTTTTCTCTATGTTTTCTGAAGTAAAAAATTCAATTATCAAAATGAGGTAGGAAATACATCTCAATGCCCATGACCGTACATTCTTGCTGATGTTTGTTTATTTTGTGAACTGACTTTATTAATCCAGAGAGTAACTCACCTAGTAAAAAAAGGTCGTTATTCATTTCACATTTTTTTGTTCCCTATATTTTTACTTTTTTGCATTTTGTTATAAATAATTTGTACTGCTGTGGTAATCTTCCACAACACATCAGTGTTTTAACTTGCTAAGTAAATACAGGATTTAATTCCGAGGACTTTGAAGGGAAAGAGAAAAAAGGAAGATCTTCACTAAGAACAAGGTGGAAAGAAGAAATTCCTCAAATATCTTGTTCATAATGAAACTTTATATTCTTTTAACTTCCAGATTTCATGCTTCGCTTTCATAACTATCATTAGGATTATCACTGACAGTTTGTCCAACCCACATATATCTGGGAACATTATTTATTAAACAAGAAATTACACTCGATAGACAACTGAGAAATAGAAATCAAATCACGTCACGAAACAATTCGTTATAAATTACAAAGTCGATAACAACTAATAACGTACGCGCTGTTCCATTCGACGCCGATTTTGAAGATTTGAGTTCCAGCGATTTTTATTTGACGACTCCTAAAATTTTTTAATTTAGAATCATACGAAAAAAAAAAAAAAAAAAACAGTTCATTTTTATCTTGTAAATTCTTCAACTAGAAATGTAAAATCTAGTATCACTGATCATTTCGTAAAGTAAGTCCCGAGCCTTTAAACACTTAATTTTGTGATGGAAACTGCTTTCCAGTCTTCACATTCAATGATAACAGTATCATACACATCATACCTGATAAGTCATGCGGTTAGGGCGTTGCTGTTGTTCCGTAGTTGTTCGTTCTTGACGCAGACCATACCATGCACCTGGACCTGTATAGCTACGGCCAGCTCGAGGTTCAAGGATCTATAACACATAACTGGAAATGTTTCAGACAGTGGAAATGCTTCAGTTTAGGAGAATTTTCTATATGCATACTTGTTCATTACTATCAGCAAGCTGAGTAAGTTTATCCGTCAGATGTAGAGCGAGGAGTTGCAGTCGACTTGGTTCGACACGATGCATAATAAGACAGTCAGTAGGCTCGTCCAAACTTGCACTCAATTCTTCCGAAATGATCATTTTGCTGAAATAATTTTCTGTTTCATATTTCATATATTTTCATCCTAATCAACTCAACAGGTCTGTAAATGTTAATGTGGGAAGGTCGGAAATTAACTCTGAAGCGAAAATCCAAAACTCAGCTAAACTAAATTTAATAGCTGAGGAAAGTAAAGGGAAGAAATTCTTTTATCTAAAAAAAAAAAAAAAAAAAAAAAAAAAAAAAATTAAAAGAAGATTAAAAACAAACCTAATCACTGAATGTACGGTACTTTTATCAAGCTCAAACAGCTGAGAAAGTGTTTCCAAGGAAACAGTAGTATAAACTGTTGAGTACATCAATAAATAGGTGCGCAAGGATTCTTCCTGAATACGACGAATTACCATTTCCTTTACTTTTTCCGAATTACGGAAGAGATTCCATACCTGGAAATGAAGATTGATAGATTACATGTAGAAATAATAAAATGCGAAGCCCATTACAGCTGCTTAAATAATCACAAATACCATATTCGTAAGTCAAAACATAATTATAAACGAACCTTGGCATCCATTTTGTCGTTTACGATGAAATCGCGACACTTCTTCCAATCACCATTTAACATAGCTCTCGACGCAGCTACCACATGCTCACGCGTATTCTCAGGCGGACCAATGAGGGAACTTTTCTCCGACTATATATAGTACAAAACGTGCATATATAGATTAAATCCACTTCAATTCTTCAACAACAGTAAGTAAAAGAAGGCTTAATAACCTTACCTGCTTCAGTTGATAATGAAATGATCGTGATAACAAGCGTCGCCTTAGTTCATATTCCTGCGAAGCCATATGGGGTATCTCTAGCAGCATTGAGCATATTAAATAGACACATTCCATAAGTTCAACGTTAATATGCATGTGATAAGGAATTTGGCGTGCACGTTCCAATTTTTCCTTAACATTACACTATTGCAAATTTCAGTTATGAGAGAAACGGTGTCTTATATTTAAAAATAAAAACAAAATAAAAAAAAGTAGATTTATGGGAAGTAAATCATGTTTAAAGGTAAAACCTGCTCAGCCGTTCTTTCTTGCTGTCTCATTGCAATTCCTTGTGCTAACAGTTCTTTCGCTCGTTGTGTATTCTGTATTTCGGAGAGACCCTGATGAGCTTCCTTGATAAAACTGTGTCGGAAAGCGCATAAACCAAGTTGGCATATGGTTCGATTATACAAAATCTTAAACGCATAAATATGGCATCATAATGTACAACACTTCTAAAAATAATCTTGATACATTCAAGTGTAAAATACAGCTATATAGCTGAAAAGTGTGAAACCAATGGATTGATATGCTTACAGCTAAAAGGACTTAAAACAACAATCTATGATGGCGCCAACCTGAGTGCTAACATCCGAATGATCAACAATAGCTTGCAAATGTGACATAAGCATTAGATCTCGTGCTTGGTGCCACTTGTCATGTAATGCTAAATGATAAATTTGACAAAGCATTGCACGCTGTCGTAAACGCTTTGTATCATCACGCGTGTACACCTCTTTACAAAGCCGTTCCATTATTGATAACGATGACTCCTGCCCATGTTCCAACGAATCTTCTACTTCGTACTAAAATCAACACTTTATTATTCATCAATGAAGAGTACAGGATATTAAAACTACGCTAAAAAACGATCATGAGAATTCCGTAAACTAAGAATCGGAAAATTGCCGGTGGAATTCTAAACCAACAACAAATGTATAATAATTTGAGGCCAAACTTAGAGAATTATAAAATATAGCCGTAATGTTTTCCGGTAAATCAGAGGAACAAGAGAAAAAACAAGTGGTAAAAAAATAAATGAAAACTTTGCCTTGTAGTAGAGATGCTCAATGCGTAGCATATACAATTTACAAACTTCTTCTTCTAGAAATACATCTTTGTTCAATCTGGTATTCACATAGTCCATTAACTTATCGATGAGGCCACACAAATCTTTTTCACCTTTCAATCTAAAATTATATATGATCAAGATTTTTTCTCTAAGAAAACTAAAAAGAGAAACGGTAATGAAAATATTTTCCTGTTCCTGATGATATTTTTACAAGGTATAGGGAGATGTCACTAAAAACAGGAAGATAGCCCATCCAGTACAATCAGTCTCGTAATAATAATTTACTGCATATTAAATCAAACTCAAAAAAAGTGTTTCCTAAACGCTTAAGTGATTTAACTACAAGTATGAATCCACAACAAAGTCGAAAATACCTCGAACTAATTGCAAGCACTAAAGTCATCACACTTAACTACAGTTCATAAGAAATACTCAAATGTATATTTCACTAGAACCGACCCATTCATTACCTTTCTCACACTTTCATGAGGCCTAACGTGATGAATAGCTTAATGGGAAAAGTCAAATAAACTTGTAGATTAGAAAAATTTAACGAAAACAAACTTTTCAATATAGTCAGTGCTATGGCAATCCGCATTTTGTAGTATCTTAGTCAATTCTGTATCTAAACGATGTACACTCATTAAGACAGAACCATGCACAGTATACGGTTTGGTTGCATCCTGTATGTTTTCATCATCTTCATTGATACCTATCGACAATACAATATCCGGATACTCGTTCAACATATCTATCAAACTATTGGTAGCTCCCAGTGTTCTGAAACAAATAATTTATTATAATTAAAATTCAATAAGGGATTTTTCATATCAAAATATTTCGCAAAAACTCGTACTTGCTCCAAGAGGAATAATCCATACAGTCGCTGATTCGTGCATTCAGTTCGAAAAGAGCGGAGATGATTGAAAACAAAATTTTTACTAAAACACCAGCACCAAGTTTATGCTGAAATTTAATTGAATTCATGCTCAAAATATGTAATTGAGATTAACTGAAAATAAAAAATGCGGAAAAATAAAACGTGTAAAAACTTATCAGCAACAAACCTCATCAGCAATCCTGAATAATTCCTGCAAACTGCGTACATAATGCTTGGGATTGGTCGATTTGCGTCCTCGAGCAGCAATAACTTCTTGCAGTTTATTTATAACAACCTTTAAAATTATTAATATTTGCCTATCAAGTTTGAAAAGCGCAAACATGGTCGAGAAATAAGGTAATTAAAAGTCTCACTTCATGGTTAATTTCAGTTTTGGGATCGAAAAGTTGACGCATTTTCTCTTCTTTTGTTGGCACAGCAACCCATGTATCATCATTTTCATTTTCCTCAATTTTCTCTTTCGCTTCGCGCTCCTTTTGTTCCTTTTGTTTTTGTGCTCTTTCCGCTTGACGTTTTTCTTTACCTTCAGTCTCACCACCTTCCTTGAATTCTTTTCTGCAAAACAATCATTTTAATTATTGTTTATGAGTATTCAGCTTGTTCACTCAAAAAACAAGTACTTCAAGAAGAATTTTCGCAAATCCTCCATTTGTTTCCCTTCAAGATCAAGGTCAGAATCACTGTCGGAAGAAGCATTTGAGTCAGAACTCCATTCATCTGAATCTCTGAGTTCACTGTGAGGTTTATTTTTCTCCACTTGTTCCTCATTTTCAGGTTCTTCCTGAAAAAATATTCAAATAATTCCCAAACATTTCAAAAATAAACTGTTTAAGTAAGACACAGAAATGAAAAGCAAAATGTTATATGCTACTTGTTCGTCTTCTTCGTCTTGGTTATCTGCACTTGAATAGCCCACCGGATCTGGCTCTGCTCTATAAGCATTGACTTCTATTTCCATATCCTAAAACATGGAAAACTCTAGATCGTCCTTGACAAATTAAGCTTGCTGAACAACATTTTTCAAGTTTTCGATGCTTTTCATACAGGAAACACTTACTTTATTATATTTACGAATTTTCTGACGCAGTGCAGTAAGACCCTTTGAGTTTGATTTCGACATAGTTTTCCGTGCTTCTTTATCATCCCATTGTTCATTAACAAAATCTTCTAGTTCAACCAAAATTCGTACGTAAAAACGAGGTGTTGACATATTTTGTCGTGTTAATACAACTTTTGTCTTCTCAAATACTTTACACAACTCTTCGAACGCTGAAAAGAATTATGTTTAAATTCTTTACTTCTTAAAGACATTGATGCTTCTTCAGCTTCTCTAAGTCCCATTCACTACTCAATTTAATTTCCCTCCTCTGAAAAAAACTAAATCTCAAAAAAATATCTGAAAAATGAGCTTCTAAAATTTACAAAACAAGTCTAAATAAAAGCAAGTAATTTACTCAAAAGTTGTATATTAATAACTAACAATTAAATTATTACTCATAATTACTTTGGCGTATAATGTTACACTTGAATTTTAGAAATAACACTGAGAAAAAGAGCTCTAAGTTTTACTTGACAGAAGCTTCGACATATCCTTGATGTTCCTTGAATTTTTTGCTTGTTTGATTAGATCTTTCAGTTCTTCAAATTTCCTGTCTTTCTGTGCCTTGACAACGCGCTTCTGTCCTTCATCATCACTATCAGATGGATACGCAAAGGCGGCTCTATAAATGCATTTATTAATCAAACACAGATGTATACTTTTATCGAATCGGTCAATTTCTAGAACTGAATCAAAGAGACTGACCCCAGAAGCAATTCAGTGAGGACGAAAAGCAAAATCACAAAGAAACAAACTGTGGTCTCTTGATCGGCACATATGGCTCCTCGTCGCTACTCTCAGAACCCGACGAATCCGAACTTGACACTGCTCCTTTGAAAAACTTTGACATTTTCTCCTATTAGAACTAAAAATAATGCGAATATATTCCATACTTCTTTAAGATGTTCTGACAGTTCAGTGCCCTCAGTTCATAGTTTCTCTCTTAAAAGGAATTAAATCTTAAAAGAACCTCACCCCCTCTCCCCTCCCCCTCCTCCTCAACTCCCCAAATACCTAAACCCCAATACCCAATCGCCATCCTCTAAAACCACTTCCTTTCTTTTCAAAGCACCTGAATAACAGTGGCCCGTAGGACGAAAAGTGACCACTGTGCAACACACTCGTCCCGTATCTATAAGAAGATTAATCATTAATCACAAATTAGGCTCCATATGCCTTTTTGATGTGTTCAGGGGAAGGTATGAGGTATATTTTATCAATTTAATCAAATGCTAATCATATTTTAGCAAATTCTGCTTTCTATCAAAGCGTAAACCAACGATAAAATCGAAGAAATCAATGTTAATAACTTAAAAACTCGTTGACAATATTTATTCAATTTATATTGTTGCATGAAAAAGTATCACTTGAATATATGCCAAATATATTTCAATGCTTCACTTCTAACTGATAACTTAGAGTGGAATTTACACAACTGAAATAGACATGAATGGAGAGAGAATCATTCTTATCATTCTTATCAATTTATCATTTTCATTGCTTTTGCTAATTTTGCTTCAGTGAATATCAGTTATTTCAACTATCGATTATTTTGAAATATAATTTCTAACTATTGGTTATTTTGAAATTTAATTTTCTGGCTTTTAAATATAAAAAGCGTAGAATTTGGAAAAATTAAGAATTATTGAGACAACCGTTAATTAATACATCAAATCTTAGATTATTTGTTTGCATATTTCTTATCAAAATCGTCCAATATATTTCAATATGTTTAACATTCAACTAGCTATCTTTTTATGATAATTTTTTTATCATCAGAAATTATCATCAACGTTTTACTATTATTACACTTCACGATGAATTCTATTTTGCTATTTTATTTCATTTTATACATTCTATTTCAATTATTTTTAATCATTGATAAACATCTTATTTTTGCTTTCTAATTTGATATTGTGTAATCGAAATGAAATGATAAAAGAAATAAAAGAATGGCCGTTCCGATCACATTGCTCAAATATCTTTTCATTTCATCCAGTCATTGTCCATGTCAACAATTCATTTATCCATTTGTTCACCTCTTTTTAGTATTATTTGTACATTTTCATTAATTAGTTGAGCAATAGTTTAATAAAATTTCAAAATTTAAATTTTTGATTTTAAATTTGAAAGAATTTAATCCTAGCAGAAATGTTATAAATAAAATAACTTTTTAATTTTAGTAAACTTGAAATGCTAATATTTTTATCAATATCAAAAGTAGTCTAAGTTGCTTCAAAACTTTTTAAAAGTGAATAGTTAATTTATGAATTAATTGATTTATCAGTGCTAATTGCTTTTTGAAATTTCCAAAAATTTTTGTAGTAAAAATTATTAAACAGTAAAGAAATTCCTTCCTTCTTTTTTTATAAAATGAAGTATTAAAATCAAGACCAAATAATGATAATAATATAATAATAATAATAATATAATAGTAGTAATAATAATAATAATATAATAGTAGTAATAATGACATAATAATAATAATAATGATATAATAATAATAATAATAATAAAGAATCAGTTAAAGTAGAAGCAAATAATACTAATAAGAAAGAAATTCAAATCTGATTAGTAACTATAAAATTAATAAACCTAGCAAAAAGTCAATACTAATAGTATGTAAATATTTAAAAATATTTAAATTTGAAAGAATTACATTCTAGCATAAGTGTTATAAATAAAATATCTCTCTAACTTTAGCAAACTTGAAATGTCAGTGTTTTTTTTTTTAAATTTTTTAAAAGTGGATAATTGATGAAGTTAATTGATGAATTAATGAAACTCAAAATTATTACATCTAATCAAAACCTCAAGTTGACCTTCAACATCTTAAACAAAGATAAAAAGTTCAACCACTATCTGATTCACAATTTTCCATTGATTTCTAATTTCTATTTTCTTTCTTAATCACTAATGCTGTGAATAGCAGGAAAAAAACAGAAAATTTTCTCTGCTATATTAACATAAATTTTTTGAAATGTAAATATCAACAATATTTGTTAATATGAAAACTTTATTTGTTGATAAATATTGGATATTGTAATCTAATTTAGGAAAGAATTTGAATGTACGATGTTCCGTTGGAAGAAGTATTTGACTTGGAAGAAATATTGGATTGTAAGTTTGCTTTTGTTTATTCTTTTCTTATCATCGCAGTTATCATCTCTGATAATAGGAAAGCGTTAATTATTGTGATAATGCATTTTAAGATGCTTTCAAATAATCAAAATTAAAATTTCTACTGCTTCAAAATTGATTTAAGAAAAGAAAAATAAATTGAAAAAAATCAATATGCACCATTAGATGTTAGATGTTATTTTATCATTAGATGTTATTTTTTTTTAAAATCATTAGATGTTATTTTATTAAACAAAATTAGGATACATCCTGTGAAATCTTAATTCATTGTGCTTTTTCATAATTATGAATTTGACTTATCATAATTTTATCTTAATCTTTCCTCTGAAAATGATTAATAGAAGTCAAAGATTTTATATAGGTCACACTATAGTTTAAACTATTGATAATCAATCCTTTGCATAGTTTCTTTTTTTGATTTTCAGTTATTCATTGTTAATATCAGTTGCATTTTATACTTCTTGCATTTCTTCATGTACCGAACATATCAACGTGATCCGTTTACGATCGTATCAACAAATTTTTCTGGTTTGTACTTCAATAAAATAATTTAATAAAATGGCGCACATTTTTATTAAATTATTTCTCTTGAATTGTTCACTTTTTTTTTTTTTTTTTTTTTTGAAACAGTCAATAATGCGAGTAAAATATAACATTCGATGTTCTCTTTTTTTCTTTAAATCGTTTTCGATAAGTACCACCAATAAGATCTAAAAAAAAAAAAGAAATAAAAAGAAAGAATTGAATTGTAAAGTGTCTAACAGTGAAATTATTTGATTCTAATTGCATTTAACTGCAATTAACAGTAATCATTTCATTAAATACAATCTTTACACTCAAATATTTCTACTTTTTCTTTTCACCATTGAACTTTTTTTTTTCTTTTTTATTCATTCTATTTTCCAGATAATTCATTTAATGAAACTTTATTACTGGAAAATACTTGTAAATTTCCAATTATTGAACCAAATGAACCGAATTTGGATGGTTATATCGAGCATTACAGGTTACATTTGAAGAATTTCCGATTTCGATTAGTTTTAATTAATTGTTTTCAATTTTATTCATTGTTATTACTTTAGTGAGGTATACTGTACCAAATTTATCCTACGATTAATTAAAAATAATTGAAAATTTTTATAATTCGTATAAGAAAAGCTAGTAATACCTCAATAGAATTATATAATATGACGGATATTCGATGTGAATATGTTTTATTGACAAATCTTAAAATTGCGGATTGGTAAATCGGGTCAACAAGAAATATGCACCCAATTGTCGAATTTTCCATATCAAAAATATGATGTGACAATGTGATATCAATGTGACACGATCTGAAAATGGGTCAGGCAAAAACAATAGAATAATATAACAACTGAAAGAGAATGAATAAAAAATGTACGAAAAAGCAAAAGTGTAATATCTATATGTTTTCAGGCTTATAAAATGTTCATTTATAAAATTAATATTTATTTGTTGCATTCATTAGCTTTGGATTACTAATCAACATTGTTCTGTGATAACAATAATAATTAATAACAATATCGATAAGTAGCGAATTAATCAAATCAATTATTAATTAACCATTAAGTAATAATTATAAATGAATAGAATCAGATAATATTATTAAAAAAAAAAAAAAAAAAAAACGAGAATTGAAATTGTAGTCTCGAATTAAATTTACAGTTTCGAATTTTTATCTCTCCAATCTTATAGATCTATCCATTGCAACAGCCAAATGCCAAATATGGCTTCTATGGACGATGGATATTTGATTGTCCATGGTGAATTGGAACCTTGGAAGCAAATTCGACTTCCCAAATACAAGTACAATGTTTTTTTTCAAAAAAAAGTAAAACTAATTTTAGAACCGTTTAATGCTCTTCTCTTTCCTTACTTTAAAGGAAACATGAAAATCACCCTAACAATAATAATAATTTACTTTTCGACCTAAAATAGTTTAAAATAACATTTTAGGTGCTATTATCAAGGTCTCAGTGGTGGCTTATATCCAAATATTAGTTGGTATCAGCTAATTGATGATCCCATCGAGGTTATTTGTAAATATTTTAGTAATTTCAAATGTAAAAATTAAGTCTCTCGCATTTAACTATTTCTTTCACACCATATAATATTAAACTTTTTAACATTTGTGAATGTCAATCTTTCCAAAAAAAGCAATCTTTATTAATTTAATTTATCAAAAAAAAAAAAATTTTTTTTCAAAAGTTTAATCGAGAATTGATTAACATATTATCATTGTGACTAATTAACTTACCAATTTCAAATTTTTGTTATTTGTAATAGCAAAATTTTCAAATCTTTTAGATAGCACCGAGTAAGCGACTTCGTATTCCATACGATCAGTTTATTGTGCGATGTTACAATAAAACATTACTTGGAAAAATTAGCGATAAGCCATTTTATAACGAATCTATGTTTTATGAACGAGCTTTTGTAACATTTTCCAAAATGGATGATATGGTTAGTTGGTTGATTGATTGATTGATTGATTGTTTGATTGATTGATTGATTGATTGATTGTTTGATTGATTGATTGAATGACTGACTGATTGATACAGGAAATTTACATTTTTATGTTAATCAATTTTATTACACTTTAATATACTCAATTTTTTTATATTTTATTATACTTTTAGGTTGCAAATAGTAAAGTAGAATGAGTTATTTTGATTCAGAATAATGAAAATGAAAATATATATAGAAAATTTTATTGATTTACTCAAACATTTCTTTTAGCTCAAGAAGAAGTTGGAATTCAAACGAGCAGATCCAGTAAGTTTTTCGAAATTATTGTTTTTATTTTTTCAAAATGTTAAATTTTTGAATTACTGATAAATTTGAAATATTTTTATATTTAATTATATCTCACAAAAATGTCACATCATCTTTTTTTTTTTTTTATTTTCATTTTTAGGAAAAGCCATCGCTTAGTATTCTCGTATTAGATTCAGTGTCGAGAAATCAGTTTCTGCGACATATGCATAAAACTGTTGCATTAATGAAACAACTTGGTTTCATCATTTTAGAAGGTTTTATATAATTATAAAAAAACCTATAAGTAGCTTTAACAGTTAATACGAAAATTTAATTTATAATTGGAGTAGAATATATACTGCATAATATTGATCTAAACTTTCTGACATTAATGAATTTAAAATATTTTCAATTTTTCTAGAAGTAATCTTTGCCACTTAGTTTACCAAGAAAAAAAAAAGACGAAAAGCATTGAAAATTTAATCAGTAACCAATTGAAATATCAAATATCCTTATTTGTGGGTTTGAAAAGTTATTTATTGTTGATTCAGGATGATGATTAATTAAAAATTTCTTGATGATACTGTTAAAATCAGGAAAGTATTAGAATGACAAATTTTCCTGTTCTATAAATCAACACAATTTTTGACTGTTACAGTAACATTTTTCCAGAAATTTAAAAGAAAAAATCTGGATTGATAGTTTAGGGTACACAAAAGTGGGTGATAATTCTGCTGTGAATTTGTTACCGATATTAGCTGGCAAATCAATATTACCACAAATTGGTGGCAATGGGGATGAGATTTTACCACTAAATGAAATAGTTTCTCTGGAAGATATTGATTTTTTATGGAAAATGATGAAAGGTACTTTTTTGTTTATGGAGAATTTCTCTTCTTATCTTATCTTTTTTTTTTTGTTTAATTATTTCGATTATAGTAATATAAAATGATTGAATAACTTGTAGATATGTTAAAATTTGCAATAACCATACGACTACTGTAGAATGTGCTTACAGTAAGATGAGCAAAGAATACTGTAAAATGTACTTACAGCAAGACGAGCAAAGAATACTGTAAAATCGTTTACAGTAAGATGTGCAAAAAGAATACTGCAAAATCGCTTACAGTAAGATATGAGATGAGAAATGTGTACACTGAATATAAAATTAAATTTGAAGAGAGAAAATGTCTAACTATGATAAATGATGATATCGGTAGTGTATCTCGCGGACTATTCTACTATCCAAAGGAGAAATTCCAGGGATATAAAGCGCCACCAGCGCATTTCTACTTTCGACCTTTTCACCTATTCAATACTCGTCATAATGTAATCCCTGCTAGTGGTCAGTGTTTACGAACCGGAGAGGTACTTTTTATATTTGTACCTTTTTCCCATGAAATGATATTTTTATATTTGATTACAGAAAAAATATTCATTTTAGTCAATAATTAATCAAAAGATTAAAACACAGAATGAATGATTGAATTTGAAATTATTTTTTGAGATTTGTGCTGAAGTTTATTTGGACATATGGGAGACATTTGCGACTAAATTCAAAGATTTGTGTCATTTTTCATTCAATTTTATAACTGATCTAACACATAATAATCCGAATTATATTGAAGTAATCGATGAGCGATTGTCGTAAGTCATACGTTGTATGAATGAAATTTTGTTTTCTTTATGAATTATTTATTTTAATATTTTAATGACAAATAAAAGAGTTCTTGAACTAAGTTTGGATCTATAATATTATCCCATAAAATCATTCCTTCACTTATACAAATCATTTTTCAAATCTCAACCACTTTAACAGAACATCCTTACAACGTTTACATGGCAGCGGTGTGCTCAATTCCACTGCATTGGTTATTATGGGAGATCACGGGAATCGGATTGGTTCAATTCAACGAACTTATATTGGTCGCATAGAAGAACGAGCACCACTATTCAGTATCAGATTACCCGATGCTTTTATTTACAAATATCAAGAAGAAACAAAAAATTTGATGATGAATACGAAAAGGTTTGAAAGTTTAATTCAAACTTTACTTTTCTTTCCAAAGTCTACTATTCAAATTTCTTAAAATCCACTTATTGAAACATTTTGCAAATACTTGGAAGATGCAGAAATCTTTGTTTCTCAATGATCTATTGCCTTTGATCGGTTTTGTTTTTTTAGCTTTTTAATTTATTATTGGAAATTTTTACTTACAACAAAAGGGTTTTTAAGCTTTTTTGTTATTTGTTTTGTATGTTCTTATTTTTCATTTCCTATTTTTGTTTTTTTTTTTAATTTTTTTTCTTTTTTTTTTCTTTTTTTTTTTGATTTTTAGGTTTATGTTTATGGTTTTAGAAATTTTTAGTTTTATTTTTATTTGTAATTTTGAGGTTAGTTTGTTTCTTCTCCTTATTATTATTATTATTGTTAGTTTCTTTTAAGGAATTTTTAATGCTTTTTTTAGAAGTTTTTTTTTAGTTTTCTTTTTTTCAGGATTAGTTAGTATGGTTAATACTCCAAACAATTGTGGATCTCAAATGATAGCTCACAATTGAAACCAGTTACATAGCACAATTTAAACTTGTTAAATATTTTTAAAATTTAGATTAACGAGTAACTTTGATATCCATCAAACACTGAAGGATATCTCGAGAGCAGAATTTCGACGAAATCGATTCTATTATGACCGAAAAGGCATTTTCTATTCAAAAATTATAAAGATGCTGAATAAATTCAATTCCTTCGCAAACAATTTGTACTAGATATATTAGTGATAATAATGAAGGAAAGAATTTTCTGAAAGAGAAAAATGCTTGAGCCTTTCTCTCTTAAGCTTTTTTATTTTTTTAATTTAATTTTGAAAGATTTGTCCGAAAAAAAAATGCACTAAAAATACATTCTATGAGTAAAATTTACTTTACAGAAAAAAATTATCACAATTTATTAATTTGATTTTAAAAAGATGAATGCTTAGGTAGAGGTATTAGTTTAATGGATGAAGTAGTAAACAAGGATCGAACTTGCGAGGATGCTGGTATTCCACAAAATTTTTGCTTATGTATGGAACGAAGAAATTTGCGTCGATTAAACAGGTAACTTTTATTAGTTTAATATTTCAAAATATCCTTTCACTTTTTATTTCTGTAATTTTTATTTATTATGCTAATCAATAAAATTATTCTATGCTAAGAATTAAAATCTTCCACTGTATTACAAAAATGTTTTAAAAAAAATTTTTTTAAATCTTTCATTATGAATTATTATTACTACTATTAATTGATTTGATTGTTTTATTAATTAATTGATACTCTACGATAATATAAGAAAGCTATTTAGTAAGTAATAATATAAATTTTTATCATTGGTTATATTTGACCATTACTTCTTCCTCTTCTTTTGCAGTACCTCAACAGAGTTTAAAAATTTGACAAAGTTAGCAAGGAATACTATCGCAAAGAGTGATTGCTTTGATGTTAAACATCTGCAAATAATTTCGGAAAGAATTGATGTATATGCAATTAATCAAATGGTTAGACAAGGATTACGCGATCAAACTGAGTGAATTTTCCTTCTCTTTTCTTTCCTTTTTTTTTTTTTTTTTTTTTTTTTTTTTTTTTTTTTTGGCTAAAGTGATTGGTTGGGAAATGAATGTTTAATGTTTTTTTAACATATGAATCATAGCAATAATCAGCAATAGTTTATTCTATAGAAGACATTTAAGCATATAATAAAAGATGTATGTTTTTCAATTTTGCATTTACTTTTCAAAATTGTTTAAACTTTATTTAGCTGGCCAAAAATCCGATGGCAGCAAGCAGAATTGGAAATAATCTATTTTGAAATAAATGTTACAGTGCCTATTTTAACTCAAAATTCAATAAATCGCAGGTTTGTGCTACTTCAAAGTAATTTTAATTTATTTCATACCTAAGTTTAAATATGAATTATCAAAAATTTTCACTTCACACTTTCTTTTTTCATGCTAACAGGCCTTTTTTTTTTTCTCGAGAATATATGCAACACAATAGAAATTTGATGTATTTGAACTATGCAGAAGTATTTATAGATGAATTCCGAATTTTTAGAAACAGAAATTCCGAAATGATTGATACAGTGATTTTTTTTTGCAGAATATCTATATTATTCCGTGTAAAACACTATGTTAGAGCGGGTGAATATGCACTAGTCGGTGACCCATTTGTTTATCACGATGACTTCGGTTGTGCTACCAAAAAGTTGGACGCATTTTGTTCGCATTGTATTTGATATGAAATATTGACCTTTAGAGGTCAATTTGTTTGTTAACATTATTTATTATATAATAATATCATTTATCTATTTATTAATTTCAATGTTTGTTTATTTCATTCCTTTAAAACACAATTTCTCACCTCATTAAATTAATACCGGTAATAACGTAAAACTGATGTCAATGTTACGTTTCATCTTACCTGTGACGTATTAGACTTACTTTGAACTGTAATAAGTCATTTAGGATTATTTTCCAGCACTGTGCTATTACGTTTCTTTCTATTATTGTTTGTCATTTATTGAAATGACAACTTTATGTTTTTTTCTTGACGTATAATTCACGTTTTTCTTTCGGCTGAATTATCTATCATCAGTGTGCTGTTTATTTTGGTAACATTACTCCAAACTTCCTCTCAATTCAAATTTTAATTTTTTGACAGATTATGTTTCATGTAGTCTCGAAGTAATTTTTTTGTAGCATAACATGCACATTGCAAGCACTTCCCGATGATTGCATTATCTTCACCAAAGGCAATCTTTTAAATTCCCTCCTCATGTATATTTGCACTTTGACCTTTACAGTTCACTTCAAAATACATTTGATGAGATTCATTCACTGCTATTGTCGATCGCTTTTACATAGTGAGGTGACAAAAGCAATTGTCATCAAATAGATGCGAAAGTCCCATCATTTCATTTTACATTTTCCTTAAGTAATCGATATTACAAATCAATTAATATAGAGGACTTTTTTTTTTTGGACCATTACAATAAAGAAAGAAATTTTAAAAGAAAATTTTTCTTTTGCTAGGCCTTTTTTTAAGCATAACTTTGCTAATGAGTAATTTCTTTGTGTTCTTTCAATCATTTCCATCGAGAATTGAAGCACAATTTTTTAAAACTTTAAAAGTTTTACACTTTTCATCGATTTGTTCTTCAAATTATTTCGTATCTGACCACATACAGTGCGCTTCTGTTTTCATCGAAATATTTTGATCCGAAATATTGTATTTATTGTTATCACTTTGAATTTTACATTTAAATTTTTTGCTCACACTTTGCATTATTCCCTTTCACGTCCGATTGAATTTCTACGTGTTATTTTCAAGCAATCTTCCAATTGCTTACATCTCTGTCATTCTCTGATAATTTGTCACAACTTGTCACTTGTTTGGAAAAAAGAAAAAATTGTCGTTTACTTTTGGTTATGTTGCAATTCAAAGACTTTATGTCAATCTTATCCCGTAGACTTTTATTTGAAGAAGTTCGAGATTAATTATCAAGATTAGTTATATTCAATTTAGTTTCATCCAATTAGATGTTTGCAGAAAAGATCGGTTTGTGCATCCGGCGTTCATACTTGCAATCCGGTAAACTTGCACTAAACAATTTATATTAAAAATCTGTCAGCAATTTCTTCTTTCATCCTATTTCGCTTAAATTTTGTAAAATAAATTTACTATTAGTACGGTTGAATTTGGAAAATAACACATCAAATTGCGCTTTACAAATGAAAATTTATCTTCGGATAATATGAACTAATCAGAAACAAAAGAAAACCTTCTCTATTTTCTTTTTAGGAACAGATTTTATGTTAACAGCAAACGTAGTTGTTTGATTTCTTATTTAAGTTTCTATAGCAAATTTTAACAAAATTAAATTATCATAAAGCTCAAATTCAGAAAAAATACTTCAATTATTTAAATGAAACTTCAAAAACAATTCGAATAATCCATTTGAGTATAACATTAACAACATTTGCTTCAAATAGCTTTGTTTAAATGCATCAAATAAATTTTATGAAGTTTTGGAATTTCTTTCTTCCGCTTCAAAAAAAAAAAGTTCCTTTAAAAATTATTTTCATATATTGCTTCTTTGAAAATAACTACTCCTTAAACCATTAATGTTAATTAAATCTTATTAAATTATTTTCTCGTTGTTAAGATTGAGTTTGATAAAATTGAGCTATATCATTGTTATATATCAGTTTATCATTTCTGAATGATAAACTATAGTGATAGCTATAAAAGATTACTTAACAGATTGACTTATACTGTAAGTAAAACGAAATTCTTTTCAGTTAATAAATATTTTTTTCCTTAATATATCATTAGATAATGACAACACGAATGTCACATAAGTCTCTCATTTAGGAATTTAGTTTTTTGATGCAAAAATTTATTTCAGTCATAGTTGGATTGAAATGTATTAAATGTTGTTATATTCTAAATAAAAATTTCTTTTTGATTAGCTTAATTTAACTTTAGCTTACTTCATTCTTTCAAATAAAACTTCAACACAGTCCGATTAATATTATTTATTCTAGTAATTAACTAACTAATTAATTAATTAATTAATTAATTTCATTTGCTTCGCTGGCTCGATTTTAGTACCACTCGTGTATTTTCCACTTTTAAATATTTGATAGATAATTTCGGAATATCAGCTACACAGTTGTTTAACATAATACTGGACTTAGTTACTACTTAAATTGAAAAATAGCCTAGAAATCTAGAAATCCCAGCTACTATAGACATTTTTTTGTTTTCTTAAAAAACTTTTCCAATAGTAATAATTTTATTGTTTGAAATGCACAATTAAATTTTGTTCGTTTAATTTTGTATCATAGCAATTAATTTCATTCATAATAACACTCAGTGAATCAATTATTTTTATTATTAATGTATATTTTTCCATTCTTTTAATATTCGAACTTGAATAAATTAAATATTAAATAAATTGAGAATAAATTAAATAAATTTCGAGAATAATTTTAAAAATAATAATTGAATTGATTTAGTTTTTTTTTTTTTTTTTTTTAAATATATAAGGAGTAAGCAGAGACATTGAAGAAGTATGTCAGACTAAGAGTGATAACAGCTGTGATTATGAGTGATTAGAGTAACTTATGACCTTTTCTCTGTCCTCTTCATATTGGTACCAATTTATCTCTTGCATAATTATCTATTTTACTACTTCAGTCTATAAAAAATGGGATAATCTTATTAGATTGTTAATGTCTAATCATTTCACCTTTCTTTTCTTACCTTTCACACCTATGAATAACTTTTTCTCCTTTGAAGTACATTTGTCAACCACTTTATGATTTATCACTTTCCACATTTCAAAAAGGATTTGAAACTATTTTCAACAATTTTTGAGATCTTTTAAATCTTTTAAACTATCTTAAGTTAATTTACTTTACAATGAATAATTTATTTGACATATGTTTAATGTTACACAATTTCTTGTTCGTTTTCCCATTCAATAACGTTTTCTTTTTTACTTTTAGTTGATTTAGAATTATTGTTTGAGTGATATTTAATTTATTTTTAAACGAAATATTAATTTATATTTATTACTTTAATTGAAATTTCTGCACCAATTTAGTTTTAAAACAAGAGAATGAAACAAAAAAAAAAAAAAGATTGGCTGTAAAAGAACAATTTGCGCTTGATTTTTTGAATGTATCCCGAAACTCATATTAATTACATTTAATAAAAATGGATATTTTTTCATTTTCTACTTAAGGAAAAAATTGTAAAAACGAGATTTCACTCTTTAACAAAGACATACTAAGCACTCTTAAAAATTTTGAAGGTCATTTTATCATATTTTGTTGAATCATTCCATTTCATAACGATTTATTCTACCACAAATGTTGTCCTGTTTATGGTCACTGCAACCTACCTTCATTTATTCGAATCATTTTTTAAAAAATATCATTTTTATGAGTGAGAAGAATTTTGTTGAGGTGAAATTACAATGAGGCGCAAAAATTAAACAATGAACTGAGCTAAAAATGTTTGCTTCACTCATAAACATTTATATGTGACCTTTAAAATTGACATTTCATTGATGTTCTATTAAAGTTCAAGAGACGACAGAAAAAAAAAAAATTTCTGTTTCATCGCTCAATTATGCTGACAAAATTTTTTCTGAAATTGATTACTCTCAATCAGTATTAAGCCATTGAGATTAGCAACGTCCATATTTCATCTCTGGATTTAGTCCCAGTCTATACCGGAAAATAGACTCTGAGTTTTCAGTTTCTGAAAATATTAAGAGTAAATCATATAGGATAGTGTAATTTTTGAAGTAATTTAATTTTTGACCAGTTTAATATCATAGATGAAAAGTCCAATTTCACTTATCACTTTTAACTATTTTAGATTCAGATTTTCTATCATCATTTTCCATAATCACTGATTAAAAATAAACTAATTTGGATTTTTGCTAGTTTTTATGGCGCATATGTCTCACATTGTAATTCTAATCGAATCATTAATTTAATTCTTTACCCTTTGCATAATTATTCGTTGCATTATCAGCTAGAATGTATTCTTTTCCTACTATTTCTGTAATTTCTATGTCAGATAGATCAAATAGGGTCGATCATAGGAAATTAAATCTCGAAGAGTAATGGATGAGAAAGATCGAGGAGATAAACTATCAGAAAGGTAGCAGTAATTTGTATTACTTAACCGTAGTAGTAATTTGTATTACTTACTTTAAAAGAAATTCACTACGTCTAACTGTACAATGATTGAATTTCAAAAAGGGCAACTGTAAGATCAATAAGGCTGATAAGCAATACTTTCATTAATTAATGATAAATGATAATTGACGATTTTATCAGATGTTATTGTCTTAATTGCATGAGACTGTTAATGTTTTTGTTGAAATGAAGCCAATTTGAAGGTGTAAATTTTTCATTCGATTTAGATGATTTTTTCACCAAGTTATCAATTAATGATAAAATTAGTGGATGTGTTATCAGTGGAAATTTAATAGATGGAAATATCGCTGAATTGGAAAGAATATGTTGCGCGAATTTTTACTCATTCCAATTGGAATGATATTAATCATATTATGGATCATTTCGTTGCGTCGTTCCATTGAAAATGTCAACATTCAACGATCTTTCAGTCAACAAAGTATGTTTATTTTACTTTCTCCTCAATTCTTCAATATTTTTAAATTTTATTTCAAATGATTCACTCTCCTATTTTCACAGTTTATATTATTTTCCTTCTTAGATTATTGCTTTTTTTTTTTTTTTTTAATTAGTTGGCGGCTTTTTGAACATTATGTTTGCTTATTTTATGATAAATAAACATTATTGCTTATATTTTATGATAATTGAACTTTAGTTGCTTAATGACTTTAGCAATATTTTTTTTAACTTACTATTTTTTTAATAAACTCATATGAAGTTACCAGAGCTTTTTTTTTTTTTCCTTATCAGTGAATTAATTTTAAATTTTTAATTGAATGTATTTTTATTTAAATATTTTTTCATCCATATTTTGCTAAAAATTATAAGCAATTTTATAATTTTTTCAGTTCAAGCAAAAGATTTTTTTAATGCAACAACAACAAAAGTAAGTATGGAAGAATTGCTGCTATTGGATAGAGCTGAAACAGTTAAACGAAAGGTTTTCTCTTTCATCAATTTTCATTTATTTCCATTCTTGTTTAACAATTATTCTATTTCTATTGATTTCTATTACTAACATATATTATTAATGAGAATTTTTAGCTTCCATTGCTATCAGCTTATATTCTGGAGGATGAAATATGCAAGCAGTTACTAATGAGCTACAAATATTCAAAAATGCCTCAAATTAACAAAGTTTGAAATTTTTTTTCTTTTGATTTTATGTAAACAACCGCATTTGCTTCCATCCTTTCCAATTTGTTGCGAGAAAATTAAATTGAATTTTGAAACTAAATCGTTTTTTTTTTTTTAAGTACGTGGTAACCGTTAATAGAAGCAGCGATAAGCATTGGGATACTTCCTGTAAAGCTATCCGTCAACGAGGCTTTTATCCTGAAATGCCATTTTCGAGTGCTGAAAAAAACTTCCCAATTGCCTTCATTAGAATTGTTTACAAGGTTAGACATAGGCCTAAAGGCCTTACCATCTTTGGTTCAGTAACTTATACTCTTTCTGTTGCTGCTTACTGTAATGCTGTGATACTGTAATTATATTACCGTATTATTTTGTTACTGTAACATTAGTTGTATAATTGAATATTACTAATTATAATCACATCTTTTATCAAATAATCTGTTTGTCCTCAGTTCACATATCACTGTTGCAGGATTTTCATTTGCAAGAACTTCTTTTCAATTTAATGTATGCACCACAAAATTTTTACTGCTATGCATTGGATGCTAAGTCCACGCCACTATTTCATTCACAAATGCGCAATTTGTCAAAGTGTTTTCCGAATGTATTATTAACCGAACGAGAATACGAGGTTGATAGTGCAGGTCATAACATGTCACGCAGTTTTCTGGAATGCTTACGTGTGGTACGAAGATTACTAGGCTGGAAATATGCTATCCTATTGCAGGTTTCTCTTTTTCATTAATTCCTTCCTTTTATAAAATTCATTTTAATTTCACTACTTTGTGTACCTTTTTTAAACTTTGCACGTTTTTCAAACTCTATGCTTTACTTATTTGGATTGTTCGGCTTCTTCTTTTCTGTTATTTTCATCCTTTAATTCCAGAAAAGATCAACTTAAACGTTTCCAAGGCAGAAAATTAGATTCTTATATGGAAACTTCAGAATAATGACATACCATTGAAAAGCAATCGAGAAATGGTGCAAATTTTGAGTGCTTTAAATGGAAGTAATGATGTCAACATAGGATATCCGAATGCAGATCGTGTACCTAATGGCGCTCCTTGGACTTTTCGAGCACTTACACTTTTCAATGGTCAGCGTCTTTGGTAATTGTATTTTGTTTCTGATGTTTTGGAAAATATGTAATGATCAGTCTGTTTATTAAATCAGATGAACTTTTTAGATGAGAAGCAAAACGATGATCGTAAGTTACGGATAGCAAAAGGAAGTACGTCGGCATCATTAAGCTATGCATTTGTAGAATTCGTTGTTGACAAATTGAATCTAACCATTTTGCTTGATAAATTCGATCGTCTAAGTTACGGTGTAGATGAAATGTTATTTCCGTCATTGAATTCCGAAGATTCTTTAGGTTAGTTCTTGTTGATAAAAGGATTCTTTAAATTAGTTCTTAATGATTAAATCTTCCTATATTTCAAGATCGCCTAAAAAAAATTCCATTTTCATTAAGATATCTTTGTCTTTTCCAAAAATTTCTTTACAAGATTCATATTCCAGGTGCACCCGGTGGATTTACGCGACAGTGTATTGATGTTTACAATAATATGATCACCAGGTATTATTAAATTTATTTAATTATTACCATTATTATTAATCTGCGATTAGTTTAATGGAAGGAAATTGAATGAAAGCTTGAATACTTATCTTCATAAATTCTCATTGCAATGCTTTACATTAAAATTTAGAAATGATAACAACTGATTGATTAAATGCATCAGTTAAGTCACATGCTTAAAAAAATTGAAATAAGTTGAAAAAAAAAATGTGAAATATCTTTTAAAAAAAACCTTTTAAAAAGTCATAAAATTATATGATGCTATTTACTAGTTCAGATGAAAGTAATTACTATTAATACTGATAGTTTGATACTTAAGCAAAATATCAATTGTAATAATCAGATTTGATTTGTTAAATGTTCTCAGATACGTAGTGTGGAAAAAATCCACGAAAAATTGTCGAAGTGGTCAGTATCGCCATGATATTTGTATATTTGGTATTGCTGATTTACCCACAATGGCTACTTCTAGAGCTTTATTTGCTAACAAAATGCTTCCGGAATATGACTATACTGCAATCGGTTGCTGGGCTCATTCCCTTCATAATCGAACTTACTCTGCTGCTAAAATTATGCCTATAAAACTTAATTATTATGCTAATCGTTTACCGGTTCGATTTCATAACGAACGAGAAAGATGGAAATTAAACTTATCAGCTTTTAATTGCTCTTGTTGTTAATTAATTTTGTATCTTATCTGATATTGATATTAAGCAGGTTGTACAAAGTTTCATGCATGTATCAAGTTGAAATATCTATCAATTCAAGATATACTAATTTCACATTAATGCTTATCACAATTTTTAGCTGTCAAAAATTTGAATTCCAGTAGTATGAATGACATTCATTAGATAAGTTTATTAATTGTTCCATGTAAAAACACCTTTGTTTGCTCAGGTGTATAGGTATTACTGATAAAATATTACTATAAATAACATGGTTATGTTATTTATATTTTGATCGTTGTTACCTATTCAATTACATTAATGTTATTTCTTTTAATAAAGAACTGAAATGTAAAGTAGTGCTTTTGAAATTAAAATGCTACAAAATAAGATTTGAATTTATTGGCGTAAAGAAAGATATATATGACAAATGGGGTGCATTTAATTGGATAATAAACTATTCTAAACTCTAAGTAAAAAATTTTTCTCCAATTTTTGAATTTTGAAGAAGGAAGCATTTTCTTTAGTTTTTTTTTTTTTTTTCGGTAGTAATTTCGAAAAAATATTTTTTTTTTTGATTTCGAAAATAAGTTTGAAGAAAATTGTTTTGAATGAAAGTGATTATTCAGTCAAGAAATACATTTTGCGCCAATTAACCTGTCATAGCTGGATTCTTTTTCTTTTCTTTTGCTTCAAAAAATAAAAATAATTTTCCAATATGGCTGTTCTGTTTAATACTTATCATTTAATGAACATATTTAATGTTAACACTATTTTTAGCATTAAACTTATTAAACAAGAAATACAACAAGACATTAAGCAATAAGCCCAATTGTCTAGGCCTGGACAATTTGTCCATGTGAAAAATGCATGATAAAAAGATTTCAAAAATAGATTAAAATGAATGGAAATAAATTCAGGAAATTATTTGAACTAAATTACTTTAAGTCCATATTATTCTATTTCAATACTCTTTTGCATTAATTTTCTTTTTCCCTTATTTTCCAACATTTTCTAATCTGATCTATTTTCTTCGTTTTAGTTGCATCTTCCAATCTTAGACAAAACTAATTTTGACGAATTCATTATTTTCCTTCTTTTCGCTAAATTTCAAATCTCTAAAGAATAGTTTTAATTCATTTCTTCAAATTTCTATCTAAATTCTCGACAAAAGTTTGTATTTTTTTAGTAGATATCAATCGATATTTTCCATTATGAGTGTCATCAATTTGTCACATCAATAATGCATCGTCATAGAAGAGTATATCTCTTTGCTAATATCTGACATTGACTAATATTTTGTGTTGAATAGGTGAGAAATTAATTAAATAATTTTTCATCTACAGGCATTTTTCAATTGCTTCACAAAGTGAAATGTGCTGGATAAGCTTGAAAATTTGCTTTTCTCCTTAAAATGTTAAAATAGATTATATGATTGAAAGATTGGCAAAGACAGTAAAATGGTTTTTACATTCAACGCCTAATTTTTTTTTTTTTTTTAATTTTAAGTGCTTAATAAATAAATCCGCTAAAGCTTATCGAACGCTGTTTTTAAAAATTTTTCTTCACGAGATAAATTCTTCGTGCTTCTCAGAAGTCGTGGCGCTAAAGTGAACGAATTACTGACGGTGGTCAATTTGTCCTGAACTAAAAAATTGTTTCACGAAATTTGTATCTCTTTTTATCATAGAGCAAAATCCTAGTGAAATGATAATCTTCCATCCTGAAAATATGACCTGCCCAATTTTGGTATGTGCTTTCAGTAACTTAGACCGTCGTCGATATTATATCGAGTGTAAATACCATTGTCTTAATTGAAATCTGCCATGACTCTTTGGAGCAGCTCAATGAAGAATAGTATGAATAAGTTAGCGTAAAGACGTAACATAAACGTTTTACTTACTATAAGCCTTTTCTGCTTACGTAGTAATCAAATGCTTCGGCGAAGTCAACGAATGTCACGTGAAGTCTTTTGTTTCTTACACTTTTTATGCAGTTGTAGGAGAACAACTTTCATATCTCTGTTAGCTCTAAAATCATATTAGCTTTCGGGTAAAAGTGATTCGTGGAAGAATTTTACCAACTGTGGAGAGTAAAGTAATAAAGGTAAAGAGTAAAGTAAAAATAAAGTAATAAAGTAAATCTCGATAATTTAAGCTATCAGAATTTTTCTTACTCATAGAATGTATGTGCCTTTCATGCTTCCAAATTTCCGATGTAATTCCATCAATTCCAGATTCTTTTATCATGCTTCAATTACGGTATATTACAGTATATTTCAATTACTGTAGCTAAATTTTCACTGATTGTTGAATGAAGTGCTAAATTATTGAGTGTTTAACTGAACAGTGTATACTGAAAAGAATTCTCACAGTACTCAATCATTAATCACCTGTGAGAGGGCAAGGGTCATCGTCGTCATCTGAGCTAAGGCAAGGATGTGAACTTGATGTGTTATTGGTTCATACAGTACTTTGTAGATTCCTCTGTAGTTGCCGACATTTGCATATTATTGAATTGTAGATTCTAAGTATTCTGTGAAGGACTGCTGGATGCTAATTTTAATGAGTTGCCAAGGAATCTGTGTATTTAGTCGCATACTATAGTGATGTCAAAAATTGTTAACTTTAAACTTCTTCTTGAACACTTTTAAGTTTGGTCTAAAAATGAGAGCTAAACGTACGTTGATCTGTTTGACATTCTGCATTAGGCATCATTCGTCATGAATAGATCTTTGGGCACTAAGATGAAATCGAGGATGCATTTAGGTCATTTTTAGGTTGTTTTTCTGCTGAAAAGTTATGCTGAGATACTTTAACAAGAGATGTCCTTTGTCATAGCACTTCACATTACTGTGGTTGACAAATAGTCAGTTCTCTGACTAATTCTAGGTTCAGAGTTCTTTTCTACTAGCATTGAACTATGACTTTATTCTTTACAGGAACTTTTCACATCACAAATGTAAACATCGATGTAGAATTTGGTTTCTTTTTTTTTCTTCTGTGTGATTAGTTTGAAAAGTTGAATTTAACGTCTTTGTTTTGAAAAAAGATAATATTTTACTAACATAGAGAAATAATGCGATTGGAATGGCTCGATAGAAATAATTGTTTACGGTAATTGTTTACGACTTTTCGGCAATTAATGAGTTTGGAAGTTTTCTTAATCGTAAGCCAAATACATAGTGCGAATATTCTGCCTTCAATTTAACCAGAAGAGTTTGTCCTCTGTGACTACCTTTGTTAGGTAGACGAATTTCACTAAGAGTACAATGTCGTATATTAAATCATAAAAACTTGTAAACAATTATTAAGAATGATTTTGATGTTCCAATTTGCAAAGATTAGTCTGCAAACATTTTAAAAAGCAAGTTTACCTCCTTGTTCTTTTTTTCTTTTGTTTGTTTTAATTCAACTGCAACAAGTAATGTCCGGTTGACGGATAGCTTTTCAAGATTAATGAGCTTTATCTATCCGGATTTCCCTAAAGTTAACAAATCCACTAGGCTAATAAATCCACTGCTCTGTCTGAACTTTTAGTTCAGATCTTTTGGCTTGGCAATCCTACCGAAACATACACCACACTGAAATCTTTTGCATCTGATAATTTATTATCGCAGATTGATCAAATCGAATGAGAAACTTCTACAACCGTATTATCTTCTACAAAAGTAAACAAATATTGTTTATTACTTACTGAGAGTAATGAAATTGGAAAATTTTTACAGAAAAAGAATGCAAAGGTAATATTTTTCTGCGACAATTAGTATGAAAAGTAGTCTTTCATTACATTGCACCTCATCTAATAGTTCCTAAAGTGGTGCAAGTTAATTTATCACTTTTATCACATATATTTAATATATCATTCTATTCTATTACGAGAAAACTTTTTTTAACTTTTCATACAAATTTATGTTTAAAATTAAATGATAACTTTTCTAACAAATTAAAGGTAATATCGTTAATGAAATCAGCAAAAGCTTAACTTTTCTCACAATTACTTTTTGCAATGCATTAAAAAATGTTTGAGGTCAATCGATGATATTTGATTTAGTATAATTTCATTTTTTTTTTTTTTTTTGATGTTTATTTTTATAATTAAGAAATGGTAAATTATCCTAAATGCATGATTGCATGATGCAATCCTTAAGCATGCATGCATATCAGTAACATATAAAAAATTTTTTAGTAAATTGCAAGCATTACAGGTATTAGAGATGTAATAATAATAGAAACAGTATTGTCACATCATTTCATTTCAGGTGGCCTTCATCTTGAATTCCATTTTGCTATCACTCAAAATAGATCCCAGTATATTTTTTGTTATCATTTCTTTCTGCAAATTAGCATTTACAGTTTCACTGATATAATAGAAAGATTATAATGCAAATTATGTTAAAGCAAACAGTGAATAACAAATTTAAAATCCAAAAATTTCAGCTTTTTTTTTTTTTTGTAAACTAAAATTGTGAAAGATTTATTCATTCAATTTGTTTTTCTTTTTGAAATGAAAAGAATGAAACTTAACAAAGCAAAAGCAAAGCTTGCATATAAGAAACAACATCTATGATGATAATGACATCAGTTTAACTTTTAAATAAAGTACTATTTAAATGTGTTCCTTCAAAATTTCTTTCAGAAATCCTTTGTTCCTTATCGAAAAAAATTCTCAAATGTTGATAAAGTGCGCCTTGTTAACTTCTCGCGAAAAACTCTCGAAAAAACCTTTATGCTTATCTATTAGCTTTTCGTTAATTCTTACAAGTTATACCTTTCTATTCGAATCAACATTTTTCATTTTTAAGTTTAAAAGTGTAAAAAAAATTTTTTTTTTTACATTTCAGTACTAAATGATAAATAACTCTAAAATAATAATACCTTCTTTCGTCAGTCTCAATTTTGAGGAATGCAGCAACAATTTTGACTTAGATTAAATAATTGTACATTTAGACAAATAGAAATGAACTGATAAGATGCGGAAGCGTAATGAAAAGATGAAGCCGGAATGCGGAACTGAGGCGGACTGAATTATAAGTTATTTGTAGTGAAATTCTACTACACACATATTAATTACATGATTTTTCATTTGTTTTTTATGGAATTATTTCGAGAAGAGAAAAATGCAATGCAAATAGTTTATTTGATAGGCTAACGATCTAAATAATACTTATCACTTAGCTGATTAATAATCTAAGCAATATCACCTGATATGATTAACCTGTTAATCAATTTTCTTATCTTAATATTTCTTTAGCAATATTCGTTGTGATTATAAATTAAATCATCCATCAAAGTGCATTATTAAAGGAAAATCTTTTCATAAAAAAATTTCTTAACTGCTAAAATCTGTATGCAAAGCCCTATTAAACTAAGGTTCGATATATTAAAGACTGTTTACATTAAGTTCATCCATTTCAAATATATTTCCATCGAACTAACTTGATGATTTCTTTTATCCAAACCTGATATCACCGATATGTCACGAATTTGTCCTATATTACAACAAAAATATCTTAATAGTTTTGAATGATTTGTAAACATTTCAATCACAGCGCAAGAAAGATGTTGTTTATGTGTATGAAATCAATTTGATAACAAAATTTTAATTTTAAAATATAAAAATTCAAAAAAAAAAAAATTGATAGTTTAATAAATAATATATGTTATTAAAACTTCTAAATCTCTTAGTTTGAAAAGTTTTTATATTTGAATATGTACCTAAATCAAAAACTAGAAGAAATTTCAACACGTACAAATTATTGTATCTCTTTGTATTTTTGTATTCAAATTTATCAGATAATCAGAAACATTGGTAGAAAAATTTAATCCTAGTCAAGCAGATATAAATGAGTAAAATAAAATAATACAAAAGGAATACGAAATCCAAATTAAAAAAAGGAAAAAATTTAATCAGAAATTGATAAAGAATTTTTGAACTAATTGCGTGCCAAAACATTGAAGAAATTAATTTCTTTATTAGAAGTTTATAAGTTTGTTATTAAATAATTTAGAAGTCAACATTGCTTCATATCCATTCACAGAAAATTTTGAAAAAAGATTTACCTGTAGAATAGTCTATAAAATAGAATTATATATTATACCTTTTGTGTAATTTTGAAAACAAAATTTCATATTTACTAGGTGAAGCATTTTTAATTTAACCATTTATGAGACAAAACCTGATCAGGTTTCAATAATTTATTTTCAGCTTTGCATAACAAATTTAAAATTCCATCTTCTCCTAAATTCTTTTTTCCCTCCCTTGTCACTTCATTAATTTCAATAATAATATAACTATCCATCATTTTGTACATTAATTGATCAACTAACATATTTCATCGTCCAAAGTGATATTTTCAGAATTTAAATGAAACCTGAAATGTTCTCGATAACTAACTTATCAATCATTTCTCTACTTATTACATTTCAACTTCTGCCCATCTTCCATCATATTTATGTCTGTGAGTTTTGTAAAATTTTATCACTGGTAATTTCGGTATCATTTGGTACCTTTCTTAAAGTAGAAATTATTCTCACAATTATTTTTTGCAAATATTTTTCACCAGTAGCTTCTATATTTTTTAGTAGGAGATGGTGAAGTAACTACGGTAACAGCACATGATGGACTAACTACAGAAACTCAACCGGATGGGTTAACAGCAGGAACTCAACTGGATGGACTAACGACAGGAACTCAACCGGATGGACTAACGGCAGTAACTGAACAGGGTGCAGGAACTGATGAATCTATGCGTTTACTGCCTCTCATTCATGAACATTCACCATCGGAAAAAGATTGTGATGCAGCAATAACTGATCCGGCAGTAGCAACCGAATTAACTTCAGTAAATGAATTTCATATTACTGTTTTGCATAATCTTTAAAAATTTTGCTTTTATTTTTTTTTATAGCAATTTATAAATTTATCTAATATTTGATAAAATTTAGATTTTCTTTTTAATTGATATATCTGCAAGATATTTTTATAAATTATTTTAAAAATTACATATGTATATAAATAAAGATAACATTTTGAAATTTTTTTTTACTATTAATAAAAAATTTGTGCAAAAATTTTTGTGCTGAAGTAATCAGGAAAATTTTTCAGAAACCATACACTGTTGATTCTGATAAAGCAGATGCAAATATTAGCAATTCATGTGAGGATATCAAACAACGTGGATTATATCCGGAAAATCCTGCAAGTGATGACGAGAAAGATTTTCCAATTGTTTTCATCCGAGTTGTTTACAGAGTAAGTTCATATGAATGATTTTTTTTTTACCGTAGAAAATAAAAATTTTCCACTAAATTTTAAAATTGTCATTACTATTTTATTTATATGTTTCCAAATTTTCTTTCTTCAAATCGTCGTTTTTATTCAAATTTTCCTAAAGAATAGAAAATATACACAAAAAAAAAAACAAACAAAGATTATACCATTCTTACTTTCATTTGTATTTCGAATTTAACAATTTGCAATTTAATGCACACTTACAAATAAATTATCATTGTTATCATCAAAATTTACAATGATAATTTGTACATTCGCTTAATATTCAATCAATCAAACATTTTTTTTTTTTTCTAAAAGATCGAAATATCATTTAAATAAAAAAAAAAGAGTTATTTTCTATTTGCCCTTGTATATGCTAACATTATTGCGAATTTGTAATGAATTTTAATTTAAATTAAAATTGATTGATAAATTAAAATAAAATTAAAAAATTTTTTAGGCCTATCACATCCAGGAATTGCTATTTAATTTGATGTATGCTCCACAGAATTTATATTGCTATGCGTTGGATAGTAAATCAAGTCCACTATTTCATGAACAAATGAGAAATTTGTCAAAATGTTTCCCAAATGTAATTTTAACTGAAAATGAATATGAAGTGGACGGTGCAGGACATAATATGACTAAAAGTTATATGAAATGTTTGGAAACTGTATCAGAGAAACCTGCATGGAAATATGCTATCTTACTTCAGGTAAACAATAATTTATGACACATTTGGTAATTGCTTGAAAATTATAAAATTTAGCAAAAAAGTATTACAATTAATCTAACACACACACACATATGCATGCACATGCACACACATGCAATACATGCACATACATGCATTCCATGCGCTGCTGCATAATTTATTAAAACAATTGTGCACAGTTTGAGAGCAATTTTTCAGCTAAAAATTCTTTTATATATATATGTTTATTAAGTAAAGAAAAGAAGTCACTTCATTCAACTTAATTAATAACTTTTATTTTAATTAATAATTTTATTTTAATTAGTAATTTTATTCTAATTAAAGACATAACGAAAGATTCGCATAAAATGGAATGTATTTTTATAGAATGATGATTTCCCAATAAAAAGTAATTATGAATTGGTCAAAATATTGGATATACTTAATGGTAGTAATGCAATTAATGTTGGAAGACCATATCGTCATCGTGTACCGCAACATATCGATTGGAGTTATGCTGGTTTAAACCTTTTTAAAGGTTTGGTATAAATTTAATTTTGCAAAAATTTAAATTGAAATCTGATATTCTTCCCAAATTTTTACATTAATATTTTAAATTTTCTGCAAAAAAGAAAAAAAATAAAATAAAATATTATGGTAGTTGAATGAAATGATAATTTGATAATATTTTATCATTCCCATTGTCGTATTATGCATATAAATATAATTACAGATTCAAGCAAAAATGTTCCCGATTCACGTCTAAAACTTGCTAAAGGAAGTCCATCTGTTGCATTGTCGAGAGGTTTTGTAGAGTATGTAACGAATGAATTGAATTTAACAACACTTATTAACATTTTTGACTCGAAACCATTTGGAACTGATGAAATGATCTTCCAAAGTTTACATTCCGATGATGCTTTAGGTTAATTTTAATTTTAAACATAAAAGATTTCACAGAAAGACAGAAATTAGGGAAAAAAAGAACCATATAAGATGAAAATTATTTTTGAATTTAACAAAAATATATTCAACAATGAAATGTTGCTTAGAATAAATGATCCAATTTCTAATATTAGACAAAATTTGAAATAAATAATTACTGTATTTACAGATGCTCCTGGTGGCTTTACAAGAAAATGCCTTGATGAACAAAGCGATTTTACCACTAGGTTAGTTCAAAAGTAATTTTAATCTAATATTTTCTACTATATCATCACAGAAATGATATCATTCAATAAAAGGAAGAATGTAATAATTTACAGATAGCATTGTTTGTAATCTCAAAATTTAATACTTTTATAATTTCTTATCCATTTTTTTTTCTCTTGTTTTATACAAAAAAAAGTAAGTAAGTAAAGAAAAAGAAGTTATGAAACTGATCATTAATTAGAATTAATTAATTGTAATATATAATAGATATGTATCGTGGTCCTGGTCAAATCGAACATGTAAAAGTGGCAATTATCGACATAGTGCATGCGTATTTGGTGTTGCTGATTTGAATCATTTGGAAAATATTCAGCATTTATTCGCTAATAAAATGTTATCAGAAAATGATTATGGAGCGATTGCTTGTTGGGCAATGCGTTTCTCTAAACGAATTGCAAGCAAATCAACTGTTGATTTCGAGAGTTACAAGCAAAGTCAAATTGTACGATTTAATCATGATAAAGAAATGTGGAGAAAAAATATATCAGTGTTTGAGTGCTAAAAGATGAAATTAAAATGCTTATGTATTATTTTGAGGAAAAACTGAAGCAGTGATAAAATGATAAAGATAATGAATTGTAAATTGCAAATGCATACTATTTAACAATTAGTACATCAATTAGACAAAACAAATGAGATATTATTGTAAGTCTTAACATCTTACTAACTAATCAATTTTGATAATGGTAAATTATAGCAAACATGAAAGGAGTTTCTAAATTGTTAGTATAAAGTACTATCAAATAAGACAAAGTAAATTTAAGTATTCCTAATTAGTAATTTAATTAAAATCCCATCAGGAATATTTGTAACTGCAAAGACAAAACTTCCACCACCTGTTAATTTGTTCTTGGATGATATCATCTAGCACAAGAAATGATTGTTGACCTGACACAAATTTGCGACTCTTTCGTGCGCTATTATCATGTTTTATATCCGGTATGCATTTCATTCATCACTACTATATTGTGTTTGAAATCGAATTTTTTATTTTGAAAACAAAAAATATAGCATTAAAAAAAGATACATACTATGAAAAAAATAAAAGCACCATATCATTTAGGTACATGATATAATCAAATAACATTTGGCTGAACGTCAGTTCCTTACTGATTAGACCAATGACCAGAAATTCCAGACGCAAATCTAAAACCTTGTACATAGCTAAGTTCAGACTGCAGAAGTTTTTTGTCATCTACTCAATAAACCATTGTAGACGAGTGATATAAGGCCTCTCAAAAACAAAGCGATTAGTATTTTAAGTAAAAAATCAGGCTAAAGTCAATAAAGTCTGATATGAGATCAGAGAATCAGAGATATAAGCAGAAATGAACAAAATATGCATGGAAATTGAACAAGCGTCACTGCTGATATCTTTATACTCATAAAGTCTGAAACTTGAAATTCCCTGCTTTGTAGTTATGGAAAAAGTTTCCCGTCCAACTTTAACACCTAACAATGATAAAAAGATGAGTAATTTACAAAAGGATATAAACAAGTCTACAAGTGTCTCTTGCCAACAAAAATCAAAGGACAGGACAAACAAACTATGCAAAATAATTCACAAACAATATCTGTCAATGACACTTCCTTTATACTTAATCATCATCATCCATAATAACATCTAACAACATTTTTTTTGTCCCAGGTTCATTTGAGGCAATTATTTTATCCGTGGAACTGGAAAGATCGGGAACTCCACCTCTCTGCGAAGCATTTTTTAGGATCTCTAACACGGGTGGATCACTATTTTGTCCACGTCCCGCTTTTCGTTTTTTGGCTTCCTCATTCCTTTGCTGTCTGTTGGCTTTCCATATTTCCACTGCTTCCTTTACCTGCAGTTATTAAAATTAAAATGACATCCTGTGAACACTATTTGCTAAGGAAGAAGACAAATGGATAAACGGCCCGCTGATAAAGGACTGCTTTGACAAAATCGTATTCCTTCTTTTATTCATTCCACTTGTTTCTAAGCATAAGGTCTATTTCTAGCAACCAATATGTGCCAAAGACCTAATAAATATGAACTTTAATAAATATGAACCGGCTTCTCCAACTCTTCACATTCCAAAACTCGCACCGCATTTAATACATCCACCGCAGTAACTGTCTTGTGTTTGCTAGATACTGCACATTCTTGAGCATATGTCGCAGCATGCAAAATGAAAACTGCTGCAGCACGAGCTATCGCTGTCCGTGCATCCTACAATATCAGTAGTTTTCATTCTATACTTCATAAACTGTTTATTCATTGTTAAAATGGGCAAGGCTTCAAAAAGAAAAAAAACCAATAGAAAATGCATTGTTGATAAGAAAAAACCACAAAAAAGTCACAAAAACTCCATTTATCGTCTAAAATACTGCAAACCTTAGAAATGATAACACCAGGGGGTAGTGCATCCTTCACTAAACGACCAATCACAGTTTGTGGCAGCCGCAAATCCTCAGCTACATCTCCGTCCGCCATTTCAGCAGTAACCTCTTTTTCTTAAAAAAAAAAAAAAGGAATCAAGATATTTTATTTAGTGTGTAAATAAATTGTAGCACAAATTTTAATACATATTACTCCAAGAATGTATCACTGACAAAAAAAGAAAGAAATATAAATCAATTTTTAACCAATAATGAAAGACCAAAGAAACATTTTCTCGTATCTCATTGAAATCAATTTATGCGTTATGCAAATTGCATACGTTACGTGACTATAAAGCATTGTTTTAATCAAAAGTCTCTCTTTCAAATTAAATTCGAGGAAACTTCCACATAACCCCACTCACCCAACCACTTTCAAGTCAAATTCACTCAAAAAATTTTTCAAAAAGACTTCCCGTGCCGAATATTAAGAATGTTAAAATTCGTAATATTAAAGTTCGTGCTTCCGTTTGAAAAAATGATCCCACACATTCTTTTGTCTTTTTTTTATGTGTGTGTGTTTTTCTGGCTTATCTGTTATTGGATAATTTATCGTAATAATTTCAAAATGAAATTTCTATGATATATTTTTTTCTTTATATGGAATATTTTTGCAAAAAATGAATAATTCATTGGAAGATATTTTAATGGTTTATTTCCATTTTAATTGAACATTTAAATGATCACTTTAATATCCAAAGTAAAAATCAAAAGTTTTTACTATCATTTTGTGGACTATTCATTACATTAAACCATATGAATAAAAATTTAGAAAAAGAAAAAGGAAAACCGAAAAATTATTCCTTTTACGAATGAATTACTGGAGATTATCCGTAAAACCGGATTTCTTGTTTTTCATCAATTTAAAAATTGTGTAATGAAAGCGATAGTTCTTCCCTCTTTTTTCGTCCATTTTCTTTGCATTTAAAATTTTTTTGTGTAATAAAAGAATTCTTTCTGAAAAATGTGCAAACACGATACAGAGATCAAAGGTGAAATGAGATGCATAAGATATCACTCTCGAATGTTTTACAATATCAAACAAGTTTTCTTCACAAATCTCACAGAGTAAAAATCATCTCAATCAATTTTTGATTAAAAATTTTTGAAATTAGTAATGTAATTCTAAAAATACAGCTCAGAAAAGAAAAATAAAACTAAAAAGGTGAAGAATTTAGTTGGAAATAATAGCAGACATGTAACATTTGCAATTAATAATAATTTCTTAAATTTAAATTTGGGACGAAAATGCATGTAATGACGATAACCATTCAATTTTTTCATTAAACTAAAATTTGAACTCTCAGATTAGTCATCTGAAATGACTTAGTTAAGGTATAAGTAAACAGACAGATAACATAGATATTTGCAGGTAAACTTGAAGATAATCCTATCATACTGTTTTTTTTTTTTATTTTGAAATTTATTCATAGCGTTAAATTTGAATAGTTTATCAAAAAGTTTCTTCTTTTTCTGCTCTCTCATATCTGTCATTTATTAGTTACTTTTATATATTCTTAAATTGTGACTCTTCTAAAGTTGCAAAGATTATTTTTAAGAATGGAAAATAATTCATAACATCTTTTTTCGCTTTTTTGCTGCAAAAAAAAAAAATGTTGAAAATCAGAATTTACGGTTAGATTTGTAGAAGTAAAATTAATTTAATAATTCTAACTTATAATGTTTTAATTTGAAAGCTACCAATTTTCCGTTGTGTTTTATTTCAAACAAATAATTGAAGAGAATTAGCATGACAATCATTATTGGACGATGGAAGAAATTCCTGTTAACAACATTTGCATTTGATTCAATTTATTTATTTACAAGAGAAATATGATTGTAAAATTGTTTTCGATAATTCAAAATGATAAAATTTTGATAATGTTCATTTTTAATTAATTATTCAAAATCAAATAAAAATTTTCATTGTCAAAATTAGCTTCACACTAATTTTTTTTTGTCTTTCTTACAATGGCTTTCTTTTTTTTTTTTTTCATCATGCAACATTGACTTAATTTTCAAGTCTTATAACCGGTTTAAAAAAAAGAGAAAAGGAAAAGAAGCAACAAAGGAAATTTTGAATTTATTCTCTGATAATAATACAAAAGTGTACCATTTGTCCATACATGAATCAGCTAAAAAAATTTTTTTTTCTTTTTTTAAAATTCTTCCTTTTTAATACATATAATGGAGTGATAATAGCATAGCAATTAGTGTTAATTAATAATAACATTAATTAATTTTTCTTATTAAAAATTAAAAACATCGTTCATAATGTTATGGAAATAAGACTTACAATACTAATTTCAAGTTTAAATCAAAAAAAAAAATCCTTTTTTTTTATTATCATTAACATTTCAATTATTCAAAAGTTACTTTATCCTTTACAGAATTCAATTGCTTTATTCGATTGAATTTTCAAATAAGAAAAAAGAAAAAAAAAAAGGGGAAAGACATTTTTCAAACAATGACAATTAATGATGATAATGAATGAAAAGACGGATATTATTGGTCAGTGTAAGGACAGAAATGAGGTGGAGTTGATGGTGAATCGAAATATATGATTAAACCGGTTACAATTGCTATTCAAAAGAGCCCATCGTTTCATTCTTTCTGGTTGTATTAAATTAACCAATCTGATCTCATCTAATCTAGTTCCTGGTTAACTTTTCATCTATTTCAATCTGGTTCTGTTAAACTTTTTAGCTATTTACTAATCTAATTCTCGAAAATATTTGTTCAAGACTTAAACCATTCATCTAAATATTGACTTCAAACTATCTATATTCAAACTATCAATATTTCTAATCATATTCATTATGATATTACAAATTTCTATTCAAACAATCTATCATCAAGTATATTGTTGCAATTATCTGAATTAAACTATTATTGAGAGAGAGAATTATCACTAAAATTTATTTATTTATTTACATCATTTCCATCATTCATATATTTGCTCAAAATAATGTGTGAATAGGAAAAGTGCTTCTTCTAACAAATGTATTCAGTGGTGACAATTATTATACTTCTAACAGGACAAACAAATGGTCAATACGGTGAAATAGCATCACTTATTGGTGATTCTCTTACACCAGGACTTTTCGGCAGTGCAGCTAGCGGTTTAGCTGGAGCTGCTTCAGGTCTTCTCGGCAAAATTGGAACATGTTTGTTTTATTTCTCACAATAATGAAAATGTTTCATCTTGTTAGATAAATTTCACTTCAACAAAATATCTCAAAGATGAATTCGAGCATTATTTTTTTGACTAGTAATAGTTTATAAAATTATTTTTTACTTACCAATGAATGTAGTAAATTTGTCATAAAATTTTTGACATATTTAATTGATATTTAAAAGAGTACTCTTAAATTGTTATGCATAATTTTTTAGGTTAAATATGATTTATTTTGTTTTGATACGAATGATTATCTTAGAGTAATAATCATGATAAACACATAAAACAGAAATAATCTGTTACAATGTTCGTTTCTTCCTTTTTTTTCAGTGTATCAAATTGCTCAAGGTGCATTACAATTAACAGGTACCGGTGTTGGTATCCTGAATCAGGCTGCAGAAGGAAAATGGTTTAATAAAGTTGTTGAAGAAGCTAGAAATGTAAGTTCATTTCTAATTTTCTCATTTTGTAAAAGGGGTGCAAGAAATGAAAAAGTATTTCACAGTAACTGTAATTAGTAATAATTAGCAAAAAAATATTTTTTTGATTTATTGAATTTTTAAAAAATTTGCATAAAAATGTCAGTGAGACTAAAAATGAAATTTTTAAATTAAAATAACTGAAATGTAAAAAGTCCAAAATTAGCAAAAAAAAAAAGCATTTAAACACAATTTTGCATAATAATAAAATATGAAAATAGGAAAAAGTCAAAGAAAAAAACAATTTTTTTTTGATTTCTTTTTTTTAATTTTTGGTTGACCTTTTAAATTGAAGATACTTTGAACATCCATTAATTAATTCTTAAAGAGAGTTCTCTCATATTCAGGTATATTTACTTAAAATAAAGAAGAAATAAATGTCATCCATTATATTTTGCATTCATGTATACCAAAAAGTTATGATAAAGTTAATTTATACCAGTGAGTATGCTAATGTATAGCGATAAGTAAAGTCTAACCTTATCATGTCCTCTCTTTTGAGGTTTTATTGTTTGTTTCTCATAATAATCAAAAATTTTATACAGTGTTTTTCTCTCTAACAGTAGCTGCTACAATTTAAATCAATAATTTTCCACAAAATAATTTGAAAATTATTCAGAAAATTTTTTTAAAATACATTTTATTTCAATTTCCGGCTTTAAAAAAAGATGCCATTAAATGTATGAAAGTGGCGGAAAACTATAATCCGTCTTTCATGTCGTAGAATTTATTGTTAGTCTTTTCAAAAGAAAAAAAAAAAAAAAAAAAACTCTTGCAAAAGTGGATCTTTTATGAGAAATTATATTGCTTTCTTTCTAGGCTAATCGGGAAATTCAAGAGAGAACACTGATTGGTACGTACATTACTTCAATTTTTATTTACTTATTTCCATTTCCAATTTAAATACTTTTTAATTGTACCATAATAAAGTAATGATATTTGTTTGCTCTGAAACAAAAATTGCTGACCTTTGTCTTTAAGATTTATGATTAATTTATATTAACTCTTGTCATTTGAAATTTATTGACCGGAAATGGAAATCATCCGGTTCGTTTGTTGGTTTAAAGCATTTATCTTGGCCACTATCAATGTTTTGCTGGCCTCGAAAGTAACCAGAATAGCAAAAAGGATAAATTACAGTTTTCCGTTTTCTTCCATTTCGATTTTTTAAATTCTAGAACCGAGTGGTTGTTAACTGGAACAAAAAGCAAATATATTAATAATGAATATATCAATATTCGTAATGATAGTTAAATCACGAACACGTCTTGGAGAAATATAACAGAATTTTCTGAAATTTCCATAAGTAGTAGGAAAATTAGTTCTCGGTGAAAATTAGGTGTCAAATTCATTATATCGTAAAAATGAGTGTGTGGGAGGCGTAAAACTCATTCATCATTTAAAACGATAAAAAGATTGAGAAATAAAGAATGAAAAAATAAAAAGGAGAGTAGATGGTAATACGTTATTGCTCCATAACCTGTTCTTTTCCGGAATTGTCAGTTTCGGGTTTTCACAAATTTTTAATCCTATTATGACAATGTCAAAGTCCTAAACATCAAACTGTTCGAGCAAAAAATGATGAACGTGGAAAAAATTAAAATTGCAAATAAATTGAAGTTGAGGTTCCAATAATTCTACTTGATTCGAAAAAGAAAAAATTAATTTTGGTAGCTAAATAAATGCACTTGCCTTTCAACATTTAGGTGATTTTGAAGACGAAAGAAATGTAAACCATTCCAGGAAATAGACTGGAACCCGATTACTCTCAGTTTGGCATTAATTTTCCTGCACCGGCACCTAGTGACTATGATCATGAAGAAACTGCGAAACCGGAAAGTCTTATTCCAATCAATGCTAATAATATGACAACTGAGAGAATTGTTTCAACTGAAACTCCATTAATTACTTTGTTTCCGGAAGAGGTAAATGAAGCTTTTTCAGCTGAAAATTTTGTATAATTGATGAAAGCTATTTATTGTTAAAAATGAAGGAACGAATTGAAATGATTGATAGTTATCCTATCATTTGAAGTTTAAACTTATTATTTATGTTCCGGAAGTGAAAGTCAACTTACGCTTTTGCAACCATTCAGTACAATTATTTCCGTTCTATTATCGCATAGTCTATTATTCATCCAAAGTCTATACTGATAATTAATTATTCATAATACATAATAAAATTCATGTCAAAATAAATTTATTTTAATTATTGTTTACTTAGAAAGAGACGAATAATTTAAACGAAAAAGAAAACCGAAATACTATGAATGTAATTAGCGTCAATGAAAACGGAGAAGAGATTAATCGTTCTGAAAATAGAGAAAACACTGAAGCGGTTAGTATGAATAAATTTTAACAGTAATAATCATGAACATGAAAGAACGGTTTGTTTTTAGTAAAATTTTCAAAAATCAAATTAACTCAATTTCTATGTGATCTCTCTAATCTTCTGCAAAGTTCTAAAAAAAAAAAAAAACAAGCAGTAAACAGTCTTTGAAGACTTAAAAAAAATTATGAAAAAATATGTTTCATAAAATCATTTATTAAAATTACAGAATACAATGAATTGCAGATATTTTCAGGATAAAAAATTAGAGCTCACTGAAGAGAAATTAGCAAAATTACAACGATTTATTACATTGTTACATGAAAGTAACATAACAGGAAATGACTTAAGTGAGTTGACACAAATGCTCGAAGAAGAAAGAATGAACAGATCAAAATCAGTCAAATCAACAGCAACCGAATCTCGAACTGTTTTCACTAATGCTACAACACTTCAACAAATAAACAACGAGACAAGGCAGTTAATTTATTTGCAATTCTTTCAATTTTCAAATTCTTTATCGCTTCTCCAATTCTTGAAGCATTTATTGACATTCAAAGAGTTTTTCGAGGCATTCATTTCAGTATTCTAAATGTTTTCTTCATCAATAATGTCAATGTTGTCTTTTTTTGACACTAAGTATCTTCGACATTTAGAGAATTAATATTTTAAAGACCTAGCAATTATGTTGGTACAATGTCAAATTTTAATTTTAAAATTAAACTAAAATTGCACTTCATTTACAGCAAAACTTTCATCACTGCTCCGCCAATAACTTTCCGACATATAGAAACAGGTGATGTCATCGATAACGAAGATAATGATCTACTTCCATCTTCTACTTCAAGATCAAGAGCAGTAATCACTGTTTTATTTATATTCACAAAGTAGCAAATTTATTACTCAATGGAAATTTAAAATTTTTAAATGACAAGAAATACTTCAGATAATTGTTTTATTTACTAGAGAGCAGCTATGATCAAATATCAACCAAGCAGACAACCTAGAATCAATTCAACATTGGCAACTATTTATCGTCCCAGGAAATATCCTCGTCGTATAGCATATCAAGCACGATTACCGTTTGTCACCAGTGCTACTCATACTGCAGCTAACATAGAGAAGCCAAAGCAGTTAGAAGTAAAGATGAATGAAAGAGCAATTCAGCAACTTCACTTAACAAGTATTTCTTGACAAAAATTCATATTTAATTTATTTCTGTTATTTATTAATTGCAATTATGATAGTGTATGATTCCTTGACAGTTAATCTGTCTGAGAGAAAATAGCTTTTGATGATTTTTTGAAACCAGTAAGTACAATTTTCTCTTTTGTTCAAGAATTCTTAAAAATTTTTTATAGTAATGAATTGAGTTTCATACAAAAGTTCAGCTGACAAAAAAGTTTTTTTTTTCTTTTCAGAAGTATTTAATAACAAAATTTCTCTTTCAGAGCAAAAGCCAGCTGTCCTAAGACAACAGTTTTTGCAACCGACTGCTTTGAATCCATATGGACAATCGGAAATTTTCTTAACTGCCCCAGCTTCCGGAATTTTTCAAACTCCCACACTTCCACCTCCACTTTATTCGCAACCTATGAATGTCATTAAATCCTACCCGCCACACATGTCCGGTTTAGAAGGTCGTAATACTAATAATGGGTTATGGACTCATCAGAATCCTAAATATATTCTAGGAGAGTCGAATTCATATTTTAATTCAAACGCTGATCCATTCATCTTACCTTTCTATAATCGAAATCCATCATAAAACTTGCTAATTGGCTGTGATAATTATTATATTATTGGCTCATTATAAAATTATTTGTAAAAAGTTGTGCATTTGTTAGGTGTTTACGTGTTACCAATCTGTTCATTGTTTTTCAAAATGAATTATAAATATAGAAATTTTAAATTTATCAATTTTAAAAATGAACATTGTGGCAGATCAATAATGAAAATTAGCACTATGAAAGTAATATTTAATGGTTTCAACAGTTTTAGCAATGAAACAAGATAACCGTCTAGACAACAGAGTAAAAAGCTAGACTCTGTTTGCCAATTTCTGACAAAATAACTGCTGGTAAAAGTATGGCTGTAGCAAATTGAATCGATTTTTTGAATTTAAAGAAAATCGAGAGAGACTGAGATCGATAGTAGATGTATAAAAAATGCTGGATTTTAACTAGATAAAATGAAATGTAGCTAAGCCATACCTGATTCTAAATCTGACCTTTGAATCTAAAAGAATAAAGACATTAAGCAATAGTACTGTTATGAATTATTAGAGTAATAAATGAAGGAATTAAGGTCCTGATCACTTCATCTTTTCTTTGCTCTGTTCTCTTCATATTAGCACCGATACACAATCTTATGTATTTTAAATTTTAGCTCTTTTGTATTTAAAAAATCTTAGCTTAATATCATATATACATATGTGCAAACAAAAGTTGCATTAATTATTCGTTAAGTGAAATGAAAAGGGACTGCTGAAACGAATTTCCTAATAGCAAGTATGGAAGAATGCTTAAAGCTAAGCATTAGCGTCACAAAAAAGCTTAGAAGATTGAGTCGATCACATCTTCTCAACAATTATCTCTCTCATAATTATCTATTTTACTACTTCAATCTTTAAGAGATGGGACAATCTTACCAGACATTAACACTCTGGTCATTTCACCTTTCTTTTCTTACCTTTATCTTTTTATTCACTCCTACGAATGACATTCTTTCTTTCCAAGTCTACTTGTCAACCACTTATGACTCAACACTTTCAACATTTCGAAACGATTAATATTTAAATATTTTCAACAATCTTTTAAATTATCTTAAGTTATTTAATATACGTTGATGTTACACTATTTTTTGTGCCTTTTCCAATCAGTCATCCAGTAATGCATCTTTTTCCCTCGTAAATAAGTGGAACATATTCCTCCTTTAAGTATTAGTCGATAATAACTGATAAGCAAAACTTTCTATGGTATTTTTTAAAATTTATTTACAGGAGAAGGAAAAATAAAGAAACATTTGTGCTGGAACTGCTGTTAGATATAATAAAAGTTAGATAGAATTTATTGTTGCTTAAAAAGAAAAAAAAAATAAATAAATAAAAGCTTAAATACCTTTCGCATTTTTTAATTGCTTTTACAAAATATAATTATTGTTACTATCTTCGATATTCAAATTATAAAATGAATATATGATATAAATGTTGCGCCTGTAATGTTCTGCAGTTATTACATGATGTATTGATTTGGATTTGATAAGAATCTAACAACAATGACAACGTGAAATAGCAATAAAATTGATTTAATCATAAAATCTTACATCTTTTGACTTATTACCTTTTCATGTATCCTATTCTTAATAATCTTTTTTTAAATAGCTAACTTCAATTTGTAATGTAAATTGAAGTTTAAAAATTAGTTGCCTAAATTCTGGTTTTCGATTCAACCACTGATGAATCATTGAAAAATGAAAAAGGAATAAGTGTTGAGAAAAGATGTTTGTTGAGTAGCTCAAGAAATATCGGATTAGAATATGACATACTTATCATAAATGACCCGATTTCAACACATCCCTCACAATTATCAATAAAAATTGCTCTCAACATTTTTCACCTCCACAGCTAGTCATTTTCTTCTGTTTCTATTTTATTTGTTATTTGTATTTAAGATTCTCTTTCTCGCTATTCTTTCCTGTTTTGATCAGTTAAAAAAGAAACCGGACATAATGAATGGTTAGAGCTCAAAACCTACGGAAGACATAATGCATCGAAATATGTACTCATCTACTATTTACTACTTCTTAATAAATCTCAGGTATCTGTAAGGTATCTTTTGAATGATTGCTTCAAAATCAGAAAAAAATTAATACAAACTAAAGATGTCAATGCAGATTTCTGTTACTCTAAGCTTATTAATTTGCCTGAAAAAAATCATCAGTATAACAGCTTTAGATTTTGTCTTTTAATAGTTACACTTACAATATTCATTTTATTAGCACATTCAATTGATTTCGAACAGATAACTGACTAACACTATACATAAATTAATCATAAACAACAAATTGCCAAGTTGTAATATTTATTTTCGAAAGATTCTAGAGAAACGAAGAATTTTTTTTTTCTTTTAAAAGACATTATCGGGCTTTTAGTAAAAGAAGCAAATCTAATCTCTCACATCCTTCTCCTTCTTCATTATTTGATAGAATTTCTATTAACATCACTTCATGCCACTATAATAAAGTCTCGAAAACTATTTCCATTTGCACATCTCCGAATTCACCTGAAATTATTCCTTAACTCAGACAAAACTGAATTAAGTGATCAGAACAGACCAAGAGATAGAATAAAAACAGAATAAATTAAGCGTTTAAATTTCAAAAAAAAAAAAAAAAAAAGAAAGAAAGGAGAAAGTAATTGGGCAGTTCTATAATTATTTATCTGGAATTATTTTATTTAATATTACAACTCTATTAAATTGTATGACTTCAAATTTAAAATTTGATTTAAAAGTTTTTCACTTATAGCCAATTTTATTTTTCATCAAAGCTAACTCTCCCCTTAAAAAAAAAGAAAAAAAAAAGACTGCTCGTTCTCCTTAGGCATTCTCCTTGTCATTCAGCCTGCTAGAATCCCCGCGATTAACCCACCAGGAGTTCCACGAGGAACCTACCAGAATTCCCGCGGTCAAAACGAGGTCAGATTTGAAATCACTACTTCCACTCAATAATTGTTGACTGTTGCAGCTCTAAGAGAGTTGTACAAGTAGCTTCAATGGTAATTGTATCATTAATGACTAACCCTTTTTACCTGTCCAGAACTTACCTTTTACTGGTATTTCCCTCCAAAATAATCTAATCGTATCTTTAAAAAAAAATCTAATTTTAAACCTAATCATTACTTTTACACATAACTATACATCACGATTACACATAACTATACATCACGATTACGTCTTCTCAATCACTTTTTTCTTTTTTCATACAATTATTCTGAATTATTATTATTAGCTATCATGTATATCTTTATGAGGTAACGAGCAACATCCTTTTTGTTTTTTAGAAAATTCATAATTTCAATTTTTTGTTGCATCGGTTATTACGAGTATAATTTCGTGTTGTCATCATTGCTATGTCCTACTTTGTTATCTTTTTTTTTTCAGATTTACATCTCGACAAATTCAAGTATTAAATCGTTGAATTGGTTGTGAGATTAGTTTATATCAATTATTAATGGGAGACATCAATTTCGGATCTACAGGTATCTACTGAATTATTTGGCTCTGGCCTTACAAAGTGTACATTCTTTTTTCGACGTGTTGTGTTGAGAAGTGTCAATCACATTGTGAATTAGCAGGATTACATCTAAAATGCGATATGAATATTTGATTCAGTGCAAAATTCGTAGCTTTTGAGTATTTACACAATGTAGTGAATCTCATTATTTCCTCAAAAAAATTAAAGCCACCACCCTTTTCATAGCCATTTTTGGATAGTTACGGTTATTTGAAGGAGTTTCCGTCTTCTGTTGCAGAAATGAGATGTGAACTCTCAACATCTACGGGTCAGAATTCACCTGCTTGTTCAGCGCAGAGTTCACCATATTCCTCTAACATTAGTGAATCGGAAATTGATATTTCATCATTATCAAGGCATTCGTCGTAAGTTTTTCGGGCAGAACAAAAAAATGTTCACCGTTAAATTTCGGACGAACATTTTGCGGACAAATTCATTCTTTTTGCATGATGTTTACATACTTGAATATTTTGTTCAAATTTATTAGCAGATTAGTGCTAATTTCAGGTGTTCATCATTAAATCAACAAAATGCATTGTCGCTGCCAACAGTAACAACAAATGCTATTTCTCCTAACCTACTTTTAAATGGAGGATGTCGAAGTGTTTCAAGAACCAATAATAATGGAAGGGTCGAACAAGATGGTGCAGCACGCATTCGCCTGTCTTGTGCTCCCGATAGCGCAAGTGATGACGATGTAACTGCAGAAGATAGTAGTAGTAACAGGTAAACATTAAAATGAGCCTAGTTGAATTGCAGAAAGTCCTTTCAAAATTTTTTTTAAGTTGAATATTTTGTATCCAGAATTTCATGTTTTATATTATATGAAAATATGCAATTCCTTTTTCTTGGCGTAGTTTTGGTGGACATTTTCGTTTTGAACGACAAAGCACTATTGAATCAAGCGGAATTAAATGGCGTTCACTCAATAGTATTACTGGAAGTGGAAATGAACCAGAACGAAAAACTTCTCTGCTACGTACTGTAAGCATTCGATTACTTACAAATTAAGGATTGAAAATGCATCATTGTGTTATGTTAATTGTCATAAAATTGTGAATTATTGTCAGCGATAACTAAAATTATTATATGAATGATATTTAACCTCCTTAAATTACTTCACAAGTCGTTGCATTTCTTCTGTTACAAGTATAATACAAAATGTATTACTATTACAAATATATGGCAATTGTATTATCAGTTTTTCTCAATTTCTATATTTTTTTTTTACGACCGATAAAATTATTCTGGGCTGCTTATAGTTCACACCATCGCCCAGCGTTTCGGGACGATCATCACCAGCATGTCATCCTGTACCTTCGCATTCACGTGTTGCAAATATACGTCGAGAAAGCAATTGCTCAATTGAAAGCGAACTTGCCCATGAAAGACTAATGCAATTCGCTCAGCAGGTAGAGATGTTAGATCATTGAACGAATATTGTTTTCATTATATATGTATTTGCTCATCCATATTTCTTCTAACCTTTGGTTTAGGTGTCTTTGGGATTCGATGATTTTAGTATCGGTGGTAGTGGAGAACGAAAGAGAACACATTCCCTGTCGGAACCAATTTCTGTTTTAACGAATGCTTTTATCCCGCACAGTTGTTCACCATCACCGACACGATCAGTTGATATACAGAAGGTTGTTTAGTTTGAAAATTTTAAGTATATCAAGACTATAAAATTTTGTTGCAAGGAAATAACTAGTGGAGGAGCAGAAGATATCTTTAAAGCTTGATTTAATTGAGTCGTCGCTATATCACATTTGAGACTATGGTTCTGAATTTGGATCATATCCATGATTTACTTCTTGTTAGGTTTCTTATGAGAACAGTTATCCTGTCATGTGATTTGCGTGATTGTGGAGTCATTTTATTGTTCTCATAGGATGAATTTTGAAGTTACATTACGTTTTTATTTTGCATTGGAGAGCATACAAAGTTAAAATTTTCACTTCAGCAGTGTTATTCGCCCTCCACGCAACAGGTTGTTCGCAACAACATCACTTATTCTCCTAGTCCAAGTCCAACACCGAGTCCTACACGACATACAATGCGGTATACATATTGGTTCTATTTAAAAAGTTAATGTAAAATTTTCATGTTTTGTTTTTATTTCTTTTAACAGTGAAGTACATATGACTTTGGACTGACTATATAGTTTCATTATTTCTAGAAGTCTGAGTCCTATAGCCGTCCGTCAAGTAATAAAACGTAGATATACCAGTTCAGCTGGTTGTGAATTGGATTCTGATCAACGGTAAGCGCGGTAACTTTCTTTCGCTTTTATTCATTTAAATTATAACAAAGAAAATTGTTTAAAAAAATATTATTTATCAAGAAAAAAAATTATTTAAGAATGAAAAAGGACTGTTAAAAACATTATTTAATTTGCAGTGTAGCGAAACGAGTTTGTCATCAGCCTCACATTATAAGTCGTGGTTGTGTTTCTCCACTTGCATTGGAAAATTCGGCAAATTCCTTGGAATCAGCAGTGTAAGAGTATTTTTAAAGTTGTATTAATCTTTTGCTAATCTTAGCAGAACTTCATACTATATCTAGATTTTATTTTTTATAAAATTTAATTCGTTTTTTAAATAAATAACACAAAGCGATTGGTTTTCTAACAGAAGATTAGCAGATGCATGATTTTTCTATAGAGAAATATATCCGTCTTGCATTATAAGTGGTTTGTGATGAATATACCAAATCATTTGAAGTAAATCTCCGGAATTGGCGAATCCATTTTCCTTTCGTTTTCCCCCTCGTCTTCTTGTTGATCCAGCAATTGAAGCCAAAATGCCTCCTCCTTCTATGGAACTGGACGAAGATGGCGATTCAGTCAGTGAACAGAGAACGGGTCCAGAGGTACTGTTGATTTTAATTAAAATGTCATTATTAAAAATGAATTATTTTTTCTGTGGACTGTAAGTTTAGATTAGAGATGTTTTTTTTTTTTTGTTTTTTGTTTTTCATTTTTGTGGATTTAATCTTAATCTCAATTTTTTGAGGAATCGAGTGAAGCGGGTAAAGCTGCACAGATGAAAAAAGACGAGTAATTGTTAACTGAATTAATGAAATTGATTGGATACTGATACACATGTTGCAGATTTCTTTCACCTTTTTTTTTTTGGCTCTTTATTTGCTCATTTTTCTTAGCGGGCGTTCTTTTGCCAAATTGTTCTAATTTTAATTTTATACTCGATATTTTCAAATCACTTTCCATATTATAATAGATTTCCCTTCTCTTTTTTTGGGTTACTGTTCTTATTTCAGTTCTATTCTTATTTCACTTCATCTCTCTCTCTGCAAAGCTGGAACAATTTTTCACGTTTCACTTACATATCGCTTCTCTTTTTAGAATTCATTTCTGATTCATTCCAGAACTTCTTAGTTCTTGCCTGCAATTTTATTATCATATTAATTTAAAGAAAATTGTATATGTATTTTCCTTGATTTGCTCAAAAGTTTGTTTATTTCATATTGGTACTATATATTCTATGGTATGGTTGTCTATTGTATTTTGATTCTTTTGTACACCACTGGAATTCCTGTAACAAATCGCTATTATTATTGGAATGCCTTTTCTTGTCTTTCTGATAAATTTCTAAAGCATTCATAAATTGCTAAAGTAAGGTATACTGTGCAATGCAGAAAAGTTGTATTTCAGATTAGAATACCATAGTATTGCTTCAAAACTAATGATAAAAATGTTCGTAGCGTTTGGGTACAAGACGTCATACTGATTATTCAAAATACTCTGAAGCCGGTTGGGAATGCATCTTTTCTGAGTTTTCAGCTTTTCGGTTCTTCCGACACAATTTGCAATATTTTATCACTGTTTCTTTGAACTGCTTAATAATATCTGTCTAATTCATTTAATAACTAATGTTTTGTGCTCTTATTTTTCGAAAGCTTGTAACCTTAGAACCATAAAATTGATTCTGACTTGTTCGTTTCCCAAGTTAGTACAGTTCTATTACAGAGTTGTATTGTATTTTCAATGAATAGATCGGAACATTTCAGAAAAGTGAAGAAAAAAATGGTGTTAGCCATCCTTCAGTTTTCCGTGAACTTTTCAAATTTTAATGGTATTGTTTGGGGGCAATTCATTCCTTGCTTCTAAGTGTATTCATCTTCAGAAAAGGTTCCATTGGTTGAGAAATCTATAAATATCATGCCAGATGTTTGTTGGGACAAGTTTTATTGCTTGAATCACAATTTAAGTATACTAATAACTTAGATAAAGTTGTTTGATCCAATTACATACATTTTATCGGCTTAGTTTTTATTGAAAAATTAGAGAAGATCGTTTTGTTATTCGTAAAAGCGTTTGAGATGGAATACAATGCCCTTTTTTGCTAGATTATTGAACTGGTCGATGTTTTTTTGTCATCAATTCATTTTTCTTGTTATTTTCATTTCTTCTACAACATTTCATTCTATTATTAATCACTGAATTACGTTGAAGGAAGTTTCCTTTTAAAGGTTTCCTTCCACTTGATCGATTTTCATGTAAAGTCCAGAGTTGATGAAAAAAAATTTTTAATGAAAATTATTGCTAACAGAAATTGACGATTGAGATCTATGAAGAGTTCCCTTACAGCAACAACTCTGACAGGAGGAGGGCATGAACGTTGTTAAATTAAACTATTCTTAATTTAGAACGACAGTATTGCTGAATCGATTATTAAACTTAAGTGATGAATTGTCTCTACTTTTCTATATCTGATAAAAGAAAGGCGTTGGAAAGAAAGGAACTATTAATTAATTTCGAATGTTTGAATTTAAGTTGTTTTCAGCATATTTCACATTATCACCAAATTGTTTGTATTACGAATGCGATTTTTGTCGTATTTATTGCTGGTGATGATGGCAGAGGTTGTTTTGACTAAGGTAAGATTTGTTGGTTTAGTCTTTAGAGGTGTTTGAAAGTTATCTTTCTCACTGAGGATGGTTTAAATCATGTATCAACAGTAATATTGTATCTTTGATCCCTAAACTGCTTTCGATGTGCAGTCACTAAGCAAATAGCCAGACGGTTCGAATGATCTTTCTTAATTGAAAGAAATTCATTTCAAAAGTGCTATTGCATTATTACCTTTGAAAATTAGGAAGGAGTAATTGCTGGTGGTGACAACACATTGAACAACTCTGGCACTACAGCAAACATTCGACAATTGCAGTTACCCGAGTTCACAGATCCTGTTATTATCGTTGGTGGTGGTTTGGCTGGTCTCTCTGCTACACTTGAGGCAATACACGATGGCGCAAATGTTGTTCTTGTTGAAGGTGAAAAGGATTTGGGTGGTAACAGCCAAAAGGTAACCGTTAAGCGCATGATAATGGTAGTTCCGATAGCTTTGTTTATTAAATATATTTAGAATATGAAGTATGGAGAAATGGAACTTTCACTTTATATATAATTTCTATATTGTTACACACTGTACGAAACAAGCAAACAAGATAACCGTACAGTGCATACCTTACAAGCTAGTATCTTACATCATGGTTCATGGTGCTATCAACTACGATGAATTGGATTCTGTATTCTGTGGCCAAACAATAATAATATTTTCTCCATCTCCTCCTGATGTTTATCTTTATTTTGATATTATTCAATTATTGTCACAGTTCTCTAGTTCTCTAGTTGAATTTCAAACTTGTTATTTCCGAGAAATGTTCAGAAAAATGTTCCTCATTGAAAAATGTTTTTCGTAGGCATCAAGCGGAATAGCAGCTTGTAATACGGAAGCACAACGTGTTAGGCAAATACACGACTCATCAGAACTGTTTTATTCCGATACGATGTCAGCTGGAGATCGCGAGAATGATCACATATTAGTTGACCAATTAGTAAGCCTGATTGCAAATGATCTTTTATGCTATTTTTCTTTTTTTTCATTTCACTTCAAATGAAACGAAAAAAAGCAAACCAGTTAGTTTAACTCTATATTCATACTTAATATCTCATTCTATGTGCAGTAATGTTTGATTCTCATTGGATTATGGCTTACGTATTTTGAACAATGTGTTAAATATTTAAGTATGGCGTTACAGGTACGCCATTCGCCCACTGCCGTACAATTCCTCATCGATCATGGGGTTAACTTATCTGACATAAACCTTTGTGGTGGACATTCAGTTAAGAGAGTACACTGGTGAGATTAATTATAAGCTGGCGTTTTGTTTTAAGAAATTATTATTTAGAACATCTTTTTTTTCCGTGCTTTGGAGAATTTTTTTCAATAGGCCAATTGAATTTTCCACTTTTTTTTTCCAATTTTTGACATGGATCGCGTTGTTATGATTCAGATGACTGTTAAAATTGCATCATTTTAGGATACCGCAACCGAAGGAAGGCAAACCAGTAGCGGTTGGTGTCAGTATTATCAAAGCGCTGAAGGAAAAACTTCGCATGCATGAAAAAGACAATCCAGAAAAAGTAGTATCTTGTAAATATCGTATTTTGGTAAAGATATGAGAATAGAAATGTGGATGCTTAGACAAATGCATCAGATTTTGGTCTTAGCTGTATAAAATATAATGGAACTAGAAGTAATATAAGTGCTGGAATTTAAAAATATTTTCGGTGCGCATATTATTGGGGACCGAAGTAGTTGGGCTGGTCACATGGAACGATTTTGTGACCGGTGTGCGTATTAAGAATGGCAGCCAGATTGGTAATATTTTTTATTCAAATTTAAATTAAAATGTTTTTGTTTTAATTTTTTTTTTTTTTTTTTTTTTTTTGTCCGCTGAAGTGATAACTGGGTTCAAATGTTCAAAGAATAGTTCATATAAGCAATTAGAGAATTGACATCTCTGCAGTTGCTTTGATTAACATAACGCTGTAATAAAAAATACGACTGATAAGTTAACAGCTAATTAATCAATGTAAGTCTAAATTAACAGCTGCTTAACAGGAACAGTCTTTTGAGACTACTGTGAAGTTTATTATTAAAGAATAATGAGTGGAATTTCTATCATATTTGGAATAAATGAGTAGTTTTTACTTTATTGTAACGTTATATTATATATTTTTTAATCATTAGTGTAATAGTATTGTTAATTCGAATCTATCTTCAATTGCTAAAAAGAATAAGATTGCATAGAGAAGTTCAGTAATTGAGTAACGTAACGAATATTAACAGCATAACGTTATTAAGAGACTGATGTATTCAACGTGAAAGTGTCATACTCCTTAATAAAATCACTGCAACAACTTAGAAGGGATGGGAAATATTGTTGTTGAATTGTTGATCATGAAACTTACCGAGTAGTCGGAAGCGAGAACACCAAAAGAACGAAGAACATCATCAGTTACAAATTTTTTACTTCTTTCACTGTCTCTTCGCATGGTATCACTCTCTTTGTCCTGTCTATTATATGAAATTTTTCCCATTATTGGTTGAGCGTGTAAGTTTTGCTTTTTGTAGCTTATAGAACGATAAGTGTTTTGTTTATTTCTCATTGTCATTTCTTGCATTTCTTTCCAGTGATGGCCATAACTAGGTGATATTGATGGATTCAGGAAGCCATTACCAGAAAGTCTATAAACATTTTATGCTTATGCTCATATCTTTGACCATTTATCATTAATTTCCAAAATAACAATTAATTTTAGCAAAAATATGAATTTATTCATTTGCTTACTTGGCTGATCTGACTGGTCCTGGTAATTGCTGATTCTTATGTCGAAAGTATGCTGATCTCATTACTTTACGTAATTGCATGCTGTTCATAGTGTTATAATTTTTTTTGTGATTATATTGCCGATATGGAAATGTATCCTTTGTGATAAGCTTAAAATGAGTCTTTCAAATTTTAGTGGTTACTAGTTGACACATGAATGACGAATATGTCAGTGGTGAAGAATATGATAGTGGTTTTTCTTTTTTTTTTTTTTTCGAAAAAAAATTACTTTGAAAATTTTATGGTCATCATCTTCCATAAAAATAGTAATTGGTGGTCGTAGCTGGGTGTGATAAGCTCGTCGATGGTAGTGATACATGTTACCATCACTTCGATATAGGCATATTAGATTATTTCGGAAACTGTAACTTACCATACCTTCACTGATATGGAGTTGTACAGCGTTTGGAAGTAGGGCGCTCTGCAACTTTTAAATCATTACAATGATAATTTTATTGAATTGAGACTAACCAGTTGATTTCCTTGTTTATTTTTTTTATTGACAGTTAGGTAGTATCTAAAAGAGATGTGAAAGTTTTATTAAAATATTAAAAATGAAATATTCACAATTTGTTTTAGGGTCGTTTTGAAGACTGATGAAGCTTCCACAATAGCAACAGCTAATTTTCCACTGACATTTATATCCAAGATCATTTTACGAGTTAATCTTTCTGAATTGTTTTTCTTCCCTTCCTCATTCATCTTACTTTCATCTTCCTTGATAATCTTTCGACAACTACTTAAATTTACTTCCTTTTTTTGAGATAATGAAATACTGATCTGAGGATTATTCAAAGGTAGTTTTATAATTAGAGGGATGGAATGAAATTTAGTTTGGTAGTTAGGAATTTTGATTATTATTTCAGAAAATAAGTCAGTATGTAAAATATTTGCGACTAACGCATCTTTAAGCATGCTATTTAAAAATTACTTTAATAATATATTTGCCAGTTTTACACCAAATCTGTTCACTTGATTTCGTGGCATCTTGTAATAAAAATAGGCGGCGATAAATGCTACTGCTTCTTCAATTTCTCGGTACATGGTGTTCTAATAATCTGAATTTTGCTTATCATTAACTTCAAAATTTGAAGTGGAAATCTAAGCAAAGTTTTATTTTAAAGTTTCAGATGCTACTCTCAAGTCTTATAACGAAACGTATTACATAAGAGAAATGGTTTTTCCTGATGGAACTCAATTAAACGAAGCTAACCACAACTGAGCGAGTTTCTAATACTGGCAAAATTTTTATAACTGATTTATATAACTTTCGTGATAACAACTCAATAAATGCAAATTTTCAGACGAAATATCTGGGAAAGCGGTTGTTTTGACCACTGGTGGTTTCAGTTGCGATCATTCCAAAGAAGATTCATTATTGCAAGAATTTGCTCCAGAAAAAGCTGATTTTCCCACAACTAACGGTCCATGGGCTACGGGACGAGGAGTTAAAATGGCTCGTGCTATGGGCGCAGCTTTAGTAGGCATGCATAATGTCCAGGTAAAACGGAAACTTTCTATGTTCATATATTTAACATTCATAGCTTTTACGATAACACTTCTTGTAACTAATAGCTATTATATTAGTATTAATCTATTTGAAATTATTTTGCAAAAAATCGGGAAAATTATTTTCACCGCTGTTTTTTTACATTTCATCCAGTATTGAAAAAACTTTTTCTACTGTTTAACGGAATCAAGCTCTTTAGTTTCTGATAGTTGTTGCTACATAACTTTTTATAATTTAGTAACTATGTTGCATAATAATCTCAAGTACACAGTTATAAATAAAATTTAGATCCATCCTACAGCATTTGTGGATCCGAAAGATCCAGCAGCAGCGACGAAATTTCTTGCCGCGGAAGCTCTCAGGGGAAAGGGCGCCATTTTGGTATATATTTTTGGTTTATCGAAAAATTGATCGTAGATAACTGAGTAACTATATTTTTTTTTTTTTTTTTTACTTCAAGAAGAATTTTAAAAAGTTTTAGTTAAACGACAAAGGAGAACGGTTTGTGAATGAACTGGGGCGTCGCGATCACGTTACCGATAAAATTTTGAAGTTCTGCGCTAAAAACGAGAAGGCTGGCGCTCATACTGCTTTCATGGTTATGGATGATCAGGCAGTTGAAGATTTCGGCCGCGCTTCGTTTGGTTTCTATGCTAAAATTAAAGGTTTTTTTAAGGTAGAAGCTGTAGCTTGATTATTAGCATCTTTTTTCTTTTTCAGTGATTTTTTCTTTCTCAGTGATTGTTTTGCTACTAAACAGTAGCTAACCGATTTTCAAAAAACTGTGTCATGGTCAGCACTTATCCGATTTTTGCGAACTCTTTAATTTTTGTGCTGAATCTAGTATGGATAAATTTTGTGTTGTAAAATGTAAATTAGTGGGAAGATTTCATCTATTGTAGCAATTCGACACTTTGGAAGAAGCAGCGAATTATATGGGAATACAATCGTCAAAACTAAAAGAAACCTTGGATGAATATAACGAATATACTAAGTTATCTTTGTCTAAGGTAACAATACGCTTCGTTTCTTCACTTAATTTGAACTTCCTTGAAGTGCCAAGTGTAACGGTTTTGGAGATTTTATGAAATCTCACATTTTGAGTATTTATTTCAGGAAGATAAATTTGGAAAGAAGGTTTTTCCGGTTGCTTTGAAACATCCGCCGTATTATGTCGCCGTTATCACTCCAGCTATTCATTACACAATGGGAGGAATAAAAATTGATAAAGATGTAACTTCTCTATTTAGATTTTGTTTTACTTACACAAAGAAACTACGTCCTGGACTGAAAATTTTCCTTGATATTCTTTAGGATTTCAATTCATTGTTTCTACGAATTGGAATCCTAAAGATCCTAATGATTTCAGTAGAGTTATATTATGATTAAGTGACTTTAATATTTTTCTTGTAATTTCGAAACATTTAAACTTTTTAATGAAAAAATGAGTTTTAGTTGTAGTTATTTTAGCAATTTTTCTTATATTTCTTACGTTGATGTATTATTTTTAGGCAGCTGTATACAATGAATTTTCGGGAAAACCATTCAAAGGGTTGTTGGCTGCGGGAGAAGTTACAGGAGGTGTACATGGACGTAATAGATTAGCTGGAAATTCATTGCTTGAATGCGTTGTTTATGGACGCATAGCTGGACGCAATGCAGCTAACATACGTTATTCAGCTTCTGACGCAACACTAACACGTACTGATTTATAAAACGTTCGTTAGGTCATTTTTTGTCCTTCTGTATATGTTGTGAGAACTCTGGAATTTTAATTATTCATTTTTAATTTTAATATGAATTATTTGAAAAATATTGTGATGACACATTTTCTGGGATCATCTTATTACAAATATTATACCAGGTAATTCTTCCTATTTTTATTTCAAACTGTGCAGTCTGACTTTATTACATTTTCACGTCTTAATTTTTCATTGTACATTCTATACCATTTCAAAGTATATGGAATCATCCATGGAAGAGCAAACTAGCGCTTCGCTACTGATTGAGGTCACGATTTATTATGTATCATTATAATGCATGTATGATCTTATTGAATAGCACGTTTCTTTATCCTTTATGTTGCATATTTTATAATGGTTGTTTTGTGGCGTAACTTTACGTTATGTAAGCCGATTGTTTCACATAAGAATTGTTCTCAGTACAAATAGAGAATTGAGGAATTATTTGTTTGAGTTTGTTTATATCGAAAGTTGTTCCAAAGTTAATTTTTGAAATTTTATAAACTTCATATGCATTGATCATCAAATAAATTTATGATTTACACTTTCTCATTATGTGAAAGAATACAACGTCTGCATTCAGCAAGCTAATTTCTATGTCATTACGTTGATTTGTTTGATTTTTCTTGCTATATCATTTGTTGCAGTTTTATTTCTGGGATGTCAGGAAATTTTGTATCATGATATGTATTTAACATATAGTGGTTGTATTGCATGTCCCTAAATCTTCAATCTTTTTCAAACTTAAATTACAGCTCTAGTCCAATCTTTCGATAAAGATTACATTGAAATTTGAAAACTGATACTATCTGCTTGTTGTATCGTCGTAGTTTCCATATAACTCTTAAGAGACTTTAAGCTGCCAATTCTTCGGGAAATAAATGATTCTTTCTTATTAGACTTCTACCTACTGTACCCTAAGATGTTGTACTGGTTCCCTTAAAAGTATTGCTAGAGTGTGATCTAACTGATTATATGTTTACTGCTTCTAAGTGATTTATGTGGTAAATGTCTAAACAAAGATGTTAGAAATGACTGTCTCCAATAATTCCACAACCACTTTCCCAACAAGAAGCGCAAAGCTCCCTGAATCCCCTCAATTCAAATAGGCGGCTCTCTACCACTCAATTTGTTCATCGTGTCTTTATAACAATTTGGTTGGAATGGCTTACTATGCATACGCGTACGTAATGAATGGGTGGTCGCGCGCGGCGGTGATTGTGTATTTCGTATCACTGTGAGTGTGGGTGGGAGGGTGTTAGTGGTGGAGGTGGTAGTTTGGTTGTATTTGTGGTTATGATTTGGTACCGAGAGATCTGGGTGGTATTATTTTGTTGCAATTGTCAACACACACACAACAACTGTAATCCTGTGTTGATTTGCCAAGTGAGTTTCAAACCGAAAAGCTCACATACATCGTTTATGGTGTACAACATTTTGGCAGTGATGAAATTGAATGATCAGATGGTCATTAATCAACTCTGATTTAGTAAGCCCTGATACCATAGTTACTGGTTTGCTTGTCACCGGTTTTGGTATCATTCCAGATCGGGGCTGTTTGGAAAGATTCTGTGTCGTACAATTTTTTTTTTCGTCAGGCAGTAGTTTGAATTCCATTGATGGCTGTTGTCGCGGCATGTCTACAGGCATAATCTCAACCGACGCTATTCAGGACGCATTGCAACGCGCTAAAGAGGTATGCTAATTTCGTATTCTCAAAAAATTGAGATCACATTAATGAAGTGCAGTGTTATGCATTTTGGAGTATACCGTATAAAGTTTTTCGGTATTTATTACTGTTATTATTTTGATTAATTCCCTGCAGAAGTTTTCGTGATATTTTTTTTTTTCATCTAGATCAACCTTTCTGTGTCCGCTTATTTTGGGAAATGACTAGGCAAAATTGAGTTCGAAAATCACTGCATCACTTACCGTTATTGCCATCATATAGTACTGTTAGCGATGAAATTGAAATATTTGCACATTTAACAAATGCGTTGTTACAAACGTTTTGTTTTGTTGGATGAAAGTATAATAATGCATTTGAATAGGTCAAGTTGAAGACCTTTTGTCTCCTTATATTCTGTAAAATATGGGACTGTGGTTATCAGTTCAAGGATGTTATTGCTTAGGTTTAGGAACAGAGGAATGATTGTGTTGTTTCGTAGTTTATATCACTTTTTGCATTCAATCTACAGGACCAATGATTTTTTTCAAATTTTAGACTATATTGCTATATTTTCACGTATTTGCTTGAAATTGATTTTGAGACGAATGCGAAATCACCGCTAGATTCTGTTTGTTAATCAGAGTAGTGAATTATATACATATATTTATTTATTTATTTATATGCTTGGCAAATCGCCACCCTTCTATGGACAGGAAAAAATTGTAGCTTTTCGAAAAAACGAATGTTAAAACTTTGTTCTCATTTCATTTTGGGTGCTTCGGAAAATTTCCCATTCGGAGATGTAGTGTAAAAAATTCCTATGGTTTTACAATGTGGTACGGTTATGTTGACCCACTATGAAAAGATTAACATCCAAAGTTATGACATCAAATTGGACTGAATGCCTCCTGCATAATGATGATGATAATGATGATGCCATTTGGTTTTGGAAATTTGTTGTCTGGAATGAAATAAAAATATTTGCCATATGTGCAGTACTTCGATTTTTATCGTAAGTTTGATGTTACGTGACATTTTTTTAGAATAAGAGGATGCTTATATTTTTTTATTCATGATATCATAAGTGATAATTGATTGTACATGCATTTATAGTATATGTTCATATTTTGCTTGTTATGTTTAGCTCGCTGCTTCTTCACATTCGAATCCGCAGAAACGACCGAATTCGGACGATTCATCTAACCGTACGTACCAGTGATTCACTTGTTATTTTGCATACATTGATGCGTTAAACAGTCACACTTTCATATTAGGAACTTATTGCGTTGAGACGTTCCGTTTTTGACGGTGTAATACGCGTTTATACGGTATTTCATTGCAATTTATGGATTTTTTAAAGTGAAGTCTTCAATTTTCATAAATACGTACATAAATCGATTACGTTTTCTCTATGGATTTTGGTTGTTGATGTGAATTATTTCGATTAATTTTGAAACGGCTGATTTTCAACTTGTCAATTTTATCAGTGCAATTGTGCATATTATTTAAAACTCTATATTTGCAGTGCGTATATTATATTCTTGGTGTTTTTGCATGCATGGTATACAAATATAAAATAGCTGAAATTTAATATGCAATTTCTGTTTTTGGAATGGAGAATTCGTTTGCATTTTTTTCAGTGTATCCAACCAAAAGGGTTAATATCACTGGAAACACAATGGACATGGGCGGGAGCATGCAAATCTCAACACTTGGAGGTCCGGGTCACGTTGCTGCAGGCGGTATGCCGCCAGTTGGAGGTGTTGGAGAAGTTGTTATGGAAACAATGGAGGTTCCGGACCACTGTGTTGGCCTTGGTAATGGTAGATGTTTTGCTGTAGTCTGTGCTCATTTACCGTTTTTTTCTTTTCCTTCTTTTTCTTTTTTTTTTCACTTGACAAATTTTGAATTTATCTTTAATTCTGAATTTCTTTAATTACAAACAATAATGTGATGTTATTTCTTATAGTGATTGGCCGTGGTGGTGAACAAATATCACAGATTCAGTCACAGACCAACTGTCGCGTACAAATGTCACCCGAATCAGATGGGAACAATATGCGCCAGTGTACTTTACAAGGCAGTAAAATGTCCGTAGATCGCGCAAGGGCAATGATAAATGAGGTTGATTCTTGCCTCGTTATGTTTCTCTTTCTTTTGCGTTTCATATTAGTGGTAGGAAATGTATTTAGCTGATATTACGGTGTAAATTTTCTGCCAATTTTTCTGTGTATTATATTGAGTTGCAGTAATTTGCTGCAAATTTCCGTTTATAGAATTTAATACTCCTAACTATTGCAGTCGATTTCTCTCGGCGGTTTTACCCTTTCGATTTTTCTAGATTATTGGTCAAGTTGCGTCATTTACTAATAGTTGTCCCCTTTTGTATAGCATTTCGCGCCTTTTTATCGAATGTTGAAGATTTAGTACTATGTAATACTGTTACTAAATTTAGCCTACATTTTGATGTTGTTCGATTTTTTTTTTTTTTTCTTTTTTTGAAGATTTTGAAAGTAGAAGGAGTTACAAGGTATTACATCAACATATTTATAACGTAGAATTATAATGATGTAATTTCTGTGCTTGCTTTCAGGTAATAGCTCGAGCAGGAAATCGTCCTCCGCCGAACCGAGCAGGCCATTTTGATGGTGGTATACCTGTTGGTACTGGCCGTCAAATAACTCAAGAGATGTTTATTCCTGGTGCAAAATGTGGCCTCGTAATTGGAAAAGGAGGAGAAACAATCAAAAATATTCAGGTGCGTCAATAGAAATGTTTGACATTGTCGATCTTGTAATCTTCGTGGACTACTTTCTATTTTTGCCACCTGTTATTATGTTTCAGGAGCAAACTGGTGTTAAAATGGTTATGATACAAGAAAACCAAGAAAGTGGAGGACAACCAAAACCTTTGCGTATTACTGGTGATCCTGAAAAAGTAGAGAATGCTCGGAGAATGGTTGAAGAAATTTTGCAGTCGCGTGAAGACCATCCGCCTGGACATTTCGGTTTCCCTGGATCATTCGGAATAAGCGGTGGACAGCGTTCGATTGGCGAAGTAAGATTTTTTATTTTCCGGCTGGCTTAATGGCAATTACATGAGTTTACAATGCGACAGCATCCACCTGTTTTACTGATAATACAACTATATTTTAGGTAATTGTTCCTCGTGCCTCGGTTGGAATGATTATTGGAAAAGGTGGAGAGACGATTAAGCGTCTTGCTGCTGAATCAGGAGCTAAAATCCAGTTTAAACCTGATGGTTTGTTTTTTAACTCTTGATTAGGGCAATAATGTATTATTTT